AAAATCCTTCTTCATCTGCAAACAGCCGCTTCAATTAAACTCCAATTTGTTGAATAATAAATAAATAAATAAGAGTTAATTAAGATAAACGATCGGAGCGCCCTAATTAAATATTAATGAGCAGAATCGCCGACCGTGTAAAACTCAACAAAATATTAAGTCATTCATTATCCGGGAGCCTGTCTAAACTTCATGGATTCAACTGACGCCCAGATTACATGCGCAGCCCCCAAGTGGTACCTGCAGGTTTATTTATCTGGGAGACTCTATTTAAAGTTCAATTTATCGCCGTTAAGCTCGCAATTCTATGGTAAGTTTTAATTAATTTATTTGATTGTGAGTAGCGGTTTGAACCAAGCAGAGTGTGTGATCCTGGACCACGCCCAAATTTTTGGAATAACATTATTGTTTGTTGAAATTAAAATTGGTTTTTAAGGAAATAGTCCTTTGATTGAAGGGACTTACTGGTGCAGATCGGCGCTACTGTTTTCACTCGACGATTTTCCACTAATTTTTTGTTTGTTTGCAGGAGTTGTTGTGTCGTCACAGGTCAGAGCTGCTCCTTCTGCTGCGGCGACTGATCGCAAATATTGAGGCAACATCTCAATCAGTGGCGCTGACTGCTGGAGAGGTGAATGGAGGTAAGTGCACTTGATTTCTTATTTTTAAGGCGTAGCGCAGCTTGAAAAACGCGATGCTTATAAAAAAATAATTGAAGCTGGCTACACAGTTAGCTTTTGCTACTTATATGTATTTTTTAATAGTGCAATGTGCGAAAACTGTCCATTGCTTCTGATATTCTCGCTACCCCCTTGAACATTCTGCCACCCTGATGGAAATAGAATTTTCGTCGAACTACTGAAATGTTGCATGAAACTGTGCGGAAACTCTCCTAGGTTAGGCATTTTACTGTATTGTTATGAAATCAAACAGTGCAATTTTAAAGGTGCAAAACAATTTTATTCATCATGGGCAAGAGGAATGCATTGCGACAGATAAGCAACATTGATAGTAAGTTTTTCCTTACATTACTACTAAATATCGTATACAATTATCTGATATAAACTCAATTTAAACTTAAAAAACAACAATTTTTCCGCCCACATTCGTTTGAATACTTTGTCGGTGAACTGCAATTCGAGACGCGACTTTCTCCGAATGTTCCAGTGGAAATTAGTCCTGCTTCGGACTGATACAAAGACAGTAGCCCTTGGTGGTCAGTACGCCCCTGCACTTGATGTGGACGGTGAACCGGATCGCCCACTCCAGATCCAGGGGCGTGCCAAATATTTCCTCAATTGACTGATCTGGCAGGATATCTGCAAAACACTCCAACCTCCACATTTGCTGACGCAGTTTATCGGAATTTTACGCACCAGATGAATCGCTGTGCGTGAACAACTTGATGTCCTTCTCTTTGCAAAAGGCCTGCAAAGTGGGGGGCACCACGCAACAGGTTGCCAAGTTAATCTGGATGATACTGGGCTTGACTGCCGCCCATTCATAGAGGTTTCTGGAATAAAATGGGGGTTAAATGATCAGATAGCAACTCGCAGGCGACGCGCTCACCTGAAGGTGGACTCTTCAATGTCAGCTATACCCAGCTCGCCCACCACGTGGCGGCCCACGTAATCCTCCATGGCCCTCCAGGTTTCCTTGATTTCATCCAGGTTGTCCGGGGAATTGCGTTTCAAAGACACTATCACATCGGCCACGTTCTTCACGTTGAGCTGCTTTTGCAAAGCTGCAATCTGAATGTTCTACATTGAACCCTCTGCAGGGGGAGCAGCTCAGTTTACCTGTTTCCAGTGCCTCTTTCAGCGGCTGATTACCGCCTTTTGTCAGGAACACTTTGATGCCGATCTTCAAGTCTCCCACCTCATTTTCCTGGATTTTGACCTGGACATCGTCGGCCCTTGAGATGAGTTTATAGCCATCGGCTGTTTGCTCTTTATCGCTCCCATTTTTCGTGTACTCCTTCAGCGTGTATTTGATGGCATCAATCAACTGAATAGGTTTACAATAGCAATAAAGGTGCATTTCCTAACATGGCGCAACATTCTCACCTCTTCAGTCGAGTTTTGACTGGGTTTCTTCGTGATGTCATTGATGGACATGATGTTCCCGGTGCTGAACATGACTTTGTCGTTGATAGCCAGCTGGTTCGTAATCATTTTGTTGCTGAATTTTCACTAATTTCGATTGCAATTAGCCTCACTAGGTTAACCAAACTAGCACCGTTAGTTTCTTACTTACGCACTGACCATTAACAAAAGCACTTCGCGCTTTTATTGGAATTCCCTTGAAGCTAATTCTGCCAGTTCATTCTGATTTTATCATCAGATAATTAACAACTAAAAGTGATTTTTTGCTAGCCTATGTTGTTGTTGATGACTTGACAAACGTCAAATTGAAAAAGTTAGGGCTCGCCAATGGTATTAAAGTTGCCCTCTAGTGGCAGTTGTTTGCGAATGGTACAGATTCCTGTCCGTAGTTCGCTAGTTGGTGCTGACAGTCGCTCATCAAATGGACAGTGGTTGTTTATTTATTTAAAATTTAGTTATTTTATGGATGTAAATGTAAAAAAAACTGTTAAAAGTGCCTCCATAACCCATAATTAAAAACAAGCAATAATCTAGTGAATGTTTGCAGCAGTGGTAGCAGTCAGAGAGCCAAACATCGACAAGCAACATCATTCGGTGAGTTTTTAATGTTACTTTATGGCCTTGTAGGGCTTAAATTGTTCAGTCGTGTTTTGAAAGAAACGGAAAGGTTTTATGAGTTGTTTTGAATCGGTTATAGTTAATAAACCGGTTGATGAGCAGAAGTAAGTCGGTTGCAATGTTGTCGGACGTAGCCAAATTTCTTTGGCTATAGAATGGTCTAATATGGTCTGGGGTATATTGATAAAAAATTGTGTACATTCGCTTTAATTTAATTTATCTTCATAGCGGTGTTTCTTTGTGTGGGTTGAAAATATTTTGATTTGCTCATTAAGTTGAATTGCAAGTGGCAAAACAATTATAGTTTTGACGCGGCAACAGCACTTCGACTTGATTGTCACCACCAGGGTTGCCAGGTCCGAAAATCCAGTTTCGGTAGAAAAGCTCGACACTTTTCGGTAGAAAATCGGTAGACTCATTTTTCTTTCATTATTAAAGGCTCCATAAAATCGCGCATTTTTCAAAATTTTTAAACTTACAGGAATACTAAAATAAACATGAGATAACATGATACAATGATAAAAAAGATATTTGTATCATGTATCATGAGATTAACCTGTGAAAATATCCGTTCAACTTGGCTGATGAGTGAGGTAGAATAAGCAGGTTACTATTACAATTGGAAACACGAATGTATCAGCTCCATATTTCAATATTTGTACTTGGCTCCAAAACTCTTCAATATTTCCAGAAATTTTTTACATTTCAATATTTTGCAACAGACGTCATTCTGTGTCCAGACCTTCTAATTCACTATCATTTATTAAATTTGGAAATATCATTGCAACATCAGAAATAGATTGTAGGGAACCTGATTTCACTATTGCAGGATCCATAAAACATAGTTTTATCATATTTATGATCTATATGGCGGGCTTGATTCATTTTATGTTTGAAAAAAAACTCTAAAATACGAGGTGTGTTAAAATAAAATGTCTGCTATTACCAACGTACTTTGATCATGAATGGAAATATGTTATATTATTTTAAGTAATCCACGGAAATTTTTTCAACTTTTATTTGTTACTTTTCGGTAGAAATCTGCATGGTATCGGTAGATCGGTAGGTTCCTTGACAAATCGGTAGATCTACCGAAAAATCGGTAGACCTGGCATCGCTGGTCATCACYCTCCCCCCACARCCCGAAKTTGATAAACTAGCATAACCCCAYTTTTCACTCAGCTGTCTTCTTTGCTTGGCCCATTTGTTTTTGACGATTTCGAGCCCCAAAAATGCCGACAGACGTTCTGGGTTTTTTATATGCGGGGGCCGTGGCTTCGGGGGGCTGTATCGGCTACTTCAAAGCAGGTGAGCTGTCGTTTTTGGCCTGACCCCCTTTTGACCCCCTCTCGTGACAGAGCATAATTTCTAATTAAGTGTCTCAATGGCGGGTTTTCAGGCTCAGTTCCGTCCTTGGTTGCTGGATGCACTTTTGGTACAGTCCTGGGCATTGGCGCTTACTATACCAGTAGAAATCCTGAAAACTACGGACTGCAACTGTTCACCAGCGCCCTTTTAGCAGGGGTGATGGGATTTCGCTTCTATCGATCAGGAAAACTGATGCCAGCCGGGTTGGTCACACTTCTTTCCGTCGGCATGATCGGGCGGATTGCTGTGAGGGCCTTCGCCACCACCCAACCACCCGTTAAATAGGGTCGAGTCTTTGCAGGGGGGTGTAGGGTGTAGGGAATTGTTACGCATCACTTTTTTCAAGTGCATTTCTACCAGATTGTATAGTGGATGAGCCGCCCATGATAAGAAACTTGTTGTGTATTTTAATTAATTTAATTTAAACAAAAATAGTTCTTGCGCAATCATTGTCTAATCTAGGCTCTAAACAGGTTGACGTGGCTACAATAAATTATTTTTTAAGTCTTAAGTAGATTCTTGTCGCGGTTTAATACAGTGGCGCCGAATTGGACAGGAAACAGACACAAATTGGTGCATGTTGGTTCCTAAGTGAGTGAGTGCGTTGGACGGATTGCAAAGAAAAAATTGAAATTAGGATCAGCACTGTTGCACACAAGTAAAATCATTCGTACGGGCGACACGCACAACCGCGTAGATAAATCTAAATTAAATAATCTAAACTCCTCCCACACATCTCCTTAGAGAGTTCGCAAGTCTTAAGCATCTACGTAAAAAATCACAATCACTTTAGTAACTCGTAACGCTGACCACTTGGACTGGACGCTGCTAGCCAGGGCTGTCCTTCCATCTGTTTGTTATTACTCTAAGTCTTGTTTTGGTGCTTCTGGTTGCGTGTTGAGTGTGACTTCAACTAAAACACACACAGATAGAGGGATGAGTTAGGGAACTGGCCGTGTTGAGCCTAATCATTAGAGGAGAACTACTGAGAGAAAATAGCTGGAAGGCTGAGAAATTATGGGAAGTTGATGGCCCCATTGATTCGTCGAGAATGTAGTTGGTGATTGGGTGGCTTCAGAGGCCAGTGAAACCAGTAGAAAAGGGTACAGCGGAAAACGGGGAACGAACGAGCAAAGAGAGAGACTTCGGATGATGATGATGGGCCCCCTCCTCTTACCCTTCAAGTCAAAGAGCGATTGCGGAGGTGACAGTCTTGTTGTTGAACGTGCTACTGTCCCCGAAGTAGCTGGCAGCGTTGTATGACCTCTTCAGGTAGTTGTTGTTAATATTGTCGTTGTACCCGAACCCCAAATTGTACGGACTCTCGGTCGACTTTTTGCCGAAATCCCGGAAATCGTAGGGACTCCTAGTGGTCTGCTTCGGGAAGAAATTGTGCAAATAGGGACTAGCGGTAGCGAGGGACGGTTGGAAATTGCCAAACCAGCCCCACGGGTGTCGCGTCGAAGGAGCGACTGTTGTCGCAGGGGGCTGGATTGGGGAAAGCGGTTCGGGGGGTTCGTCAGAGAACCTGCGTGCATAGTGATTGCAAAAAACATTCGCTGTGAGTGTTTTTTCTACTTACAAGGGTCGGCCCGGGTGGCCGTTCGGCCTCACGTACGAGGGCGCGTTCTGTGAGTAGTCGGGGATGATGTTCTCGTGCTCGGCTACACATCGGCCATTCAAGCAGTACTGGCAAAAACGCTTTTTAAAACCGCAAAAACGACTTCTCATTGCAAAATATTACCTGCCCGTCTCCGCACGTCGAACCTTCGGCCGCAGGCCGATAAGCTACACAGTAGCCACTACCGGAGTCGAAGCAAAACAGCTGGGCGCACACCCTTTCGTCCTTCTGCTCAATAAAAACCAAATAAGTAAACAGAATTAGTAGCCAAATGGCAAGAAACCCACAAAGCAGGCGCTGGTGCCCCGGTCTCTGCGGCACTGGGCGTCCAAAGTCAGCAGCTTGCCTGGGAGCACTCGAGGCAGGCTCTCGTCTTCATGGGGCGCGTTGTATAGACAAGTGGCAGTGTCCCCACTAAAATTTTAACCATGTCAGTTTGAAACGCACCTCGTAAAAGATTTGGACTTCTTGCTAGCCCGATATACGAGGGGCAATGCGATTGTATAATGTAAGCAATTGAACTCACTTTAAGAAATGATGGAAGCTGGCAACGCTGCACGACGACCATCTGAAGCCTCTCTCAGTGTGCCTCAGATCGGACATGATGAATCCGTCGGCCCATTGACACTTTTCGGCACCAGGCCCCCCCAAATAAGAGGGTGGGGGACTGCCGTCATGCACGGCGCCCAACCTGCAACACAAATGAGTCGAAAGGGCGGCAAACAAATGAAGGCGGCGTCCGACTTACAGATGACCGACTTCATGGGCGGCCACAATGATGCCGCTGAAGCCACCCGTATCCTCAATGATGGCCACCGAGTTGACTTTCTCCAGGCGCTTGTTGACCACGCAGGCGCCGCCCACATAGGCGAATCCTAAAAGTTTGTCAAGCTCGCTAAAGATTTGAGAGGTTTAGAAAAAGCCTCCACCCTGAAAGTACCGTCCCGTTACCACCACCACCAGCTGGCTGGAAACAAACCTGGAGTGTTAGTAGCGCATAGTTTTCACCTCAAGAGGTGGGAGACAAGTGAAGTCAAATGTTTTTTTTATTGGTGAAATATGCAGGAGCGGGTTCATATACAAAAGAAACAGTATCACTTTGTTTATGAACTATTTTATACCCGTCTTTTTCCTCATACAAAAGCGTCCGTCGATCCTTTGTACATCACGACCCATTCTATCGTTGTTTATGAACACGCTCCAAGTCAAGGAAATCATTTACTTCACATGTCAAGAGACGCTGAAAATACAGTCCAAAAATTATCAAATATGTAGCTAAGTGCGCACCCTCCAATCAAATGCAGATCCAACACCACAGCTTGGTAGCTTTTAGTTCCAACACCACATCGGTCCAGTGAAAAATAGTCTTTAGAGAAGTGGAGTGATCAAAGGGCGAGAAATCTTGGGGCTGAGTTGCAATGGTCGATGCTTTACAAAGAAATTATGGTGGGAGGTGAAACTAAAGACAACAGAGAAATGGGGATGTTGATTTACAATCAGGCTGGTAAAACTACAAGTGCAGATTAAAACAACTGAAGTGTTGGGGCCCTTACAAGTAGAAGGGATTGAGGATTGCGAGGAGACCTACAAATAGAACTACTGGGGCGGTGAAGATGATTGAACTGCGTGAGGTGCGAACGAGTCAAGTGATCGGAAAACAGACTCTTGCATTATCAGAGAGCGGCTGCGCTTTCTGCTTAAAATGGCTAAAACTGTTAGAAAGTCAATTGGTTGCCGCCTAAATCAGCCACCATCGACCTTCTAACTTGTTGGAAGCTAGTCTACCGCCCGCCGCTCCCGATAGCTCCAGGATACATTGAGAAGAAAGTGAGCGTGCGAATACAAAGAAAGACAAATAAACGTCTGACGATGGTTTTGGTTTCTGAATTGTACCTGCAGTACCGCGATTGCACTTGTCATTGGGGAACGCTCGCCTGCACATGTCTAGTCTGCAAAAGGGAAAATTGTCGATCAGTGCAACGGCTCAAAACACTCCAATCCAAGGAGAAGGGGGGACACTGTCAACTTATTTGACGGTTAACTTAGTTAGTAGCCACCCATCCCGCGCCAGCCGCTTTCGAGTTAAATAGGTAACAAAATAAAGTAAAAAATACATGAGACACCAAATTACCGGCTGTTCCCTTCGTACAGCGACCGCCCTTGCGTCTTCTGCACATATCGTACCTAAATAGAAAACATGACAGTGTTACCAGACGGTTTCTGACACCACCGATCGATAGTCCGTCGCTAAGAGGCATGATTGGACAGAGACATTGAGCACCTATTGGGAGGAGTGAGTGTCTTACTTTGTGATTGCCACTGCGATGTCGTAGACTGGGAGGCGTCGCTCTCTAAACAGATACTTTCCCATGTCAGTCAGCGCCGCTGCTGAGTCGATCGCATCACGACCCACCCGGTTTCTTTCCAAATAAGGCGTGGCGTCTCGACCCTGAAAAGTTTCATTTTTATGTTAACCGTCTGATTCAGAAACTAAGTTTACGCGAGTTTCTTATTCAGATTTCCCCGCTAAAACCCAGAAAAAATGGCCGCTGAAGCAGTGGTGGACTTCTTCAATGTCCACAATCGGCCCTACTCTTTGAGCGACATCCAGGAAGGCTTGAAGAGCAAATTTCCCAAGACCAACGTTCAAAAAGCAGTTAATTGTCTGCTGGAACAGGGCCGTATCAAGGAGAAAGTCTATGGAAAACAGAAAGTAACCCAGTCCAAAGCCACTGAAGTTTGGTCTTTACTCCCTCAATCGACTGTAGGTGTATTTTCCGGCCCAAAACAGCAAACAGTCGCCGCAAGATCTCAACGACGAAATCCGCACGCTCGATCGTCAGATCAACGAGATTAACACCAAAGTTGAGGCAAAAGAGGGCGCAATCAAGGCCATCCAGGCCCAGTACTCGGAACGGCAGGGAAGGTTGACTTTGGCTGAAGCCTGCGGTAAAAAAATGAAGCTGGATGCTGAGCTGCGCACCACGAAAGATGCCCTGGAGGCATTTGACGGCGTCGCCCTGGTGGAATCAAAGGTAAGCTGCGCAAGTTTAACAGAGAACACTATAGGGAAGGCGAAGGGCAGGTGAAGGAACAGGTCCAAAAGGAGTACGAGCGGATGCTGGGGATTTACCGGAAGCGGAAGCGCATGTGTCTGGATATGCTGGACACTATCCTGGAAAGCTACCCGAAGAAAAAAGCCAATCTATACGAGGAGGTGGGAATAGAGACCGATGAAGACGCCGGATTCAATTTAGTACTGTAATCAACTAATCTAAGAATATCTATTGATTTATCGAATATAAGCCGATGAGAATAAAAGTTGTCTAGTACTACTCACTACCACTCACCCTGCTTATGATGATTCCAGCAATCGACACCCTGATCTTGGGCCCTTTGAGCAGCTTGTAGCGCAGATCCACCCCGTTCCAGAACGAGATAAAGTAGCGCTTGATCTGCAAGTTGTCTCCACCATGCAGCCGATATCCGTCATAGTCCACAATCACCAAAATCTCCGGGTAGATCGTGTAGGGGGCGTCCCGTTTGCTGCGCTTTTGTTGGGTGCTGCGCCGGTATCGATTGCCCAGGTGGTCGGGTTCCATCAGAGCTGGAAAGACGGCGATTAGCCGAACTACATTACTGATATGCAAGCTGGGTTCTCACCATAGTCGCTCATCGAGTCCTCTTGGTTTTCTTTGCGTCTGAAGACGATGTGATGGTGAGCGGTCGCACCGCTGGAACCGTCCTCCGCCCGAGCAATTGGTAGACCTGATTGCAAATTTAGAGGTTTGCTGTTATTTATGTAAATATCCTTCAATAACGATTTTTGAACACCCACAGAAATACCATCGGGTTGGTCGCAGTCATAATCAAATAAGTTTACCTACAATTATCGAGTTTTGAAACATAGTTTTCGCCCACCTGTGTCGATGGCGACTTCAGCACTCAGCGCACCATCGTCGTCTAAAAAGCCTTCATCATCAGTGGCGGACACTTTGCGCGCTGTCCCAACAACGGGCCGGAGCCGTGTGGGAACTGGACGAATCACCAGATGGGAACCAATGGAACCTTCCTGAAAATCAACGAAGTCGGTCATGTGGGAAATTGAAAGGGTTCCGAAATGAACATGAGAAAGCCAAGGATAGCAATTTAAATATTGCGAACCAACGGACCGCGTCAATGTAACAGTTGCTATTACGATAAGATTTCACTATTAGGCAAAAAGAGTTTGTCGGCGGGGCCGTTTACATTTTTCGCGGTTGGTTCTCGTAATTGATTCCAATTAATTATGGTTTTGCGACCGAAAACACAAAAAAAGAAACTGCTGGTGGTCCGATATATATACATTTTTTAATGCATCACTTTACGAATTTTACATTTCTGTCAAATGTGACAGCTGACTAATAGGTTGACAATGTTCTACGGCCCGCAAAAATGATTCCGCAATTTCCCTATACTAAAAGGAACCATTCAATCGGTACCCTTGACCACAATGTCCCAATCGGCACACAATGAATGCATTTCGGTGTCGGAAAAAATGCGTGCAACATGCGAAGCGTTCCACAATCTGAGGCAATCATCGGGTTCGCAGTTACATCACTTACACTGGTTGTAATTGTTTGGCAATTAGTGGAGGACGACCTTAACGTGTACAGTCGACCAGTTGGAAAATCGTGGCATGGCAGGGTTAAGGCCTGTGCTCGAAAGGTCGCATTAGAGCCCGCTTAGGCAGCCAGCTATTCAATAGAATGTCAGTCAATTGCCCAAAAACCGTCAAACGACATTTCATTCGGGATTATTAATTATGCGGCCTGCGCTCGAAATTAATCAACGTTATGCAACTAAATGCCTTTCTTTTTCAGCTTGCCCATTGATTTTGTCTGACTGTGTCAAATTGTTTACATTTAGTGGATTAATTGGCGTTTTTGCTCGCTCGGTATGACGGTTTTCAGCTGAAAAACCTTGCAGAACACGCAAATGAAAGGCCTACGAAAACCTGCACCCGCTCGTAAAAAGCCACCGAACCGAAACCGAGCAGATGCATATAAATCCAACTTAACTCGTTTCCGCATTAAGTATTTCTGCTTCAAGTAATTACGGCTCAACGACTGCAGTCTGCAAGCGAATTGCTAAATGACCAACTGAATCTACAAACTCCTCAATCTCCTGAACTGGAACGACTGAAAGAAAAAGGTGACACGGACTATATATCAGATTCAAATAGACAGCGTTGTCACGCGCAGCCTCTAAATGACCAACTTCGCCAAACTTTCAAAACAAGTTAGGAAGCGCCTTTAACTCATAAAATCCCTGGCCAGCCGGGCAATAAAAATTCCGGTTTCCATCAGAGTGTTTTTCGCATTTATGACCGGCTGACTCAGCCACCATACAAATATTTGCATTTTAGAGTATTCCCAAGTCCCAACAATCGTCTACTCGGAAAAATTGCGTTCGTTCACTTCCCAGAGCCCAGTCTGTGTAAATATTTTTATCGTTCACCCGATTCATAAAACTTCTAGTCAAATAAACATGTTTTGGCCCGTTGATTGCGGCCAATTAGCGCCAATAAAACGCAAACGTGCGACTTATTGGCGGCTGTTGAGGTGTGGATTTGCGTCAGCAGGATTTCAGGAAAAAAAGTCAGACTTACCACTACAATATCCGAGCCCTCTTTGCGCATCAGAATGGCCGCTTGATTGTGCTCGTCCTGGTATAATTCGCCTATGTCGTCATTTGCCTGTAATAGAAAAGTCTTTTATCAGAAATCTAACGAGATAAACCTTCGAAAATTACAAAACGGAAAGGGCGCGGCAACGTCGCCCTTTTCACATAGGCTGTTTGATGTAGTGGAATCAGTAAAATTCAATCATAATCAACCCAATTCAATTAACGCAAACATTACTAAATGCTGCCAATAGAAATTGCCATCAGCCTTTCCCATCTCCATTAGGTCGTCTGTTGCTAATTACTCTTAAAACGATGCCAATTATTACCTACAGCAAACGGCTGCAAAATCCATCCTGCTTATTGCAAAACGTCATTAAACAATGATATTCAATAACCGATATGTCTGTTGTTATGCGATAAGGATCGCAAATTCCAAATTTTATTATAGAAAGTAACGAGAATTAGGAAACCGAATTCGTGACCGGGCTGGGATATATGTGTCCGAAGCCGGAATTCATTTGTTGCAATTACCAACGGTGTCAATCTCCGCCACTGGCGTTTTTTCGCCCATTCGAAACACAGAAAAAACGACAATCAAATGCAAGCCAAAAAAAAACAACCGAAAACGTCGCCTCGACTACAATTCCGGTTACTGTTACCATTTTTTTCTTTCGTGTTTATGTTTTGTGTAGTTTTTTTTGCCGAATCCGATTCGTAGGTCCGGCTTTTGACAAAAGAACCACGCCCCATTAGGTAAATTCACACGAGCCAACAACGGATATTCGGCACACTGTTTGCTTAAGACTTGATTTCATGCATGAAAAAAACAAGGAAACCAGACTTGACTTAACTCGCATAAAACTTCGCGTTTAAAATGCTTGAAGTCTTCATTAGGAAATATTCAGTTCAATTCACAAGTTCAGGACGTTTCCATTGATGCGTTGGGGGCGGTTCCGCAATTAGGCCTACTATGCCACTACATTTCCGGGAATTTTAGCTAGAAAAACCCACCGGACCTCTCGAAATATACCATGTGATCTTGGGCCTAAATTCAATCAGCTGGGATTTTTCGGGATGATCACAAAATCGCCGATTCGGACAAATAGTGGGAGGCATATTAGTTTAACAAACCAAAGGTCACAAGCCCATTGATCGCAGAGAAGATGCCATTAGAACCGAAAAAATGTGAAACGCCGCAAATGTCAATGGGTCAATTGCCACACATGAGATTAAAATAGTGAAGATGAAAAGCACGCAGTTAAGTAACCGAATGTTTATTAAAACCAAATTGCTCATGATTTATTATCGATAATGGCTTGGCAAAGACTTGGAAATGTCGAAAAGGAAGAAGCTTTTTACGCCAGCAGATTGTGGATTCTTCGACACACTTTGTTGCAATTTGGTGCGTACGTTCAGCAGAAGAACAGCTTGAAAACTGATCAGCGGACAGTCTTTTGTTGTTCGGCCCAACTTCCGCAAAAATCTTCTGCATCGCCTTAATGTGTTTAAGCGGCTAAAACCAGGTCAACCCATCAAATCGCATATAAGAGCAGCGGTAATAATCAGCTGCTGCTAATGATGATGATGATGCCACTTTCACTCTTGATGACCGTTCGCTTCGTCACGACACACCGTACTAGCTTCATGACGTCATTTTTCCTCTTTGAAGAAAATCTTTGGACTCCTTCAGCAACTGTGAAGAAAGTGCCCAAGGATTTAACGGCTATTCCGAATAAATCTCAGTTACTGCCGTTACTCTAATACATTATTTATAACCAGTAAAACTAATTGCGCACACAAGGAAGGAAATCTGCCTGAATGCAATTAGAGATAGGTATTATTAAATCTCATTTCCGTTTCAGTGCTTGGAATCGAAGTGCGCCAATCCGGTTTTCGCTCACTTTCACACCAACAAACTTCATCAAATGAAATCAACTCCCAATGGAAATTTAATGGTGCGGCAGTGTATTGCGATCAATCAATACGTCCATCTCTATCCAACTCATGGGCCAGACGGGTGTCACTCTCTAATCTAACGGCGCGGCATATACACTGCTCAACAAACCAATTAACTCGGTAAATAATCAACGTTTGAAAAGCAAACTTCAAATCCTCAACAGAGGCAGGAAAATGATCCGGTTGCGACAACCGATTTGCCTGGTTCAGGGTTAACATCGCCCATTTGAAACCGGGAAATTTTGCGGTCGCTCCACCAATTACAAGAGAAAGAAGTGGATCACGCAACCGTTGCCGTTACATAAGCGCAAACAAAAGAACCCCCACTCAGGCAAATAGCGGTGACATGCCTCATTGGGCAGCGCTTTACATTTTACATGACTGGATTGATTTTGCCCAAAAAAAAACTTTATCAAAAGCCTTTTCATATGGGCCCCAGTTTAACTAAATCCGGCAAATGACATTCGTTGTGCCGGGAAGGCGGACTCCAGCTAAAGTAGGCGGGCATTAAGACGAATTGAGAGTCGGAATCGCATTCATGGCCCACTTATTTATCTCCCTGCTGGGAAATAAAGCATCAACTCTTTCTCTTTCAAACGGCAATTCTACTTATTTATTAATGTAATGGTATTAAGTAACGCGATGCATCAGTGAAAGAAGAAAGTTGGGCGCTTGGCTCGTTTCCATTATAACAAACACGTGAAATGTGTGAATGTATTACGACACATGTTTTCAGCGAGTCACGCGTGAACGGCCATTTGGGGAAGAATTATTTTCGTTTAATTCCCACGAAAACAATACAAAAAGAAACAGATATTTTGCAATATCCATGTCGGAATGTATGTAGGTGATTTTTTATCAGTTAACCAGTCATCCCAAATAATTCAGAGCCACTCCATCCCTGCACCCTGCCGACAGGCAACCGAACATACCTTAGCGCTGTTAAGGCCCGCACAGTAATGGGAGGGGCTTAAAGTCCAGGACCGGCATCGCCCCAAGGAGTTGACTTCCTTGAAGTAGCGCACCAATTTCAAATCAATTCAAATATCTTGGGAAGATTTCCCAACTGAATTTGCCCATTCGCGTGCACAAAAAAACAACGCCAACAAAGAAAAAACCTGCCGGAAATCAGGCGATTAATTAATGAAAGACTCCCCGACAAGACCCATTGCGTAAGTTAATGTATTTTCGGTGTTAATCGCCCATCCATTGTTTGCCTGCGCTGCGGCTGGGATGTGATACTCTCAACCATCCTGGTCGGTTAATTGAAAACCAAACAGTGGTGGCGTAAACAAGGCATTCTCGCACAGGGCCATGCGAAACCAGTTTTTCCGTAACAGGTAGCAGCAGGAACTGGCCGACAGGAAAAAAATCGCGATTTTCGACCTTTAAAAAATGCATCAATGTGGAGCAGGAAGTGGACAGGAATGCGCACTTTTGTTCACATCCTGATTGAAAGGCGTCCGAAAACCCAATTAGCTTTGACGAAATACAAAAAGCGTTTTACTGGCTACTTACCCAGTGCCGATTTTTACACGGTTGGTTGAAGGCTATCGAAAAAAAACCTTTGTTTACCGAAAACCGGCTGATTTATTGGCGTTTTCAACCAGCAAATGTCGGGGCTGGAGATAAAAGTTATGCCAAAATGTTTTGTAATAAACTAAATTCGAATCATTTGCTTTTCGATAAATCACACAAAAGTTTGCGGTTTTAGCTATAGTTGCAACATGCCAGTTCATTTAATGACCAGTGTATTACGTTTCGTGTTTATGCCGACATCCGTATCTACCGACTTTTGCAGTTATCATTCATAGCCGAAATAGCTCAGTTGGGAGAGCGTTAGACTGAAGATCTAAAGGTCCCTGGTTCGATCCCTGGTTTCGGCAAACTTTTTTCGTTTATTTTGTGAATATTCTATTGCAACTTGAATAGTATTCAAATCGAAAATACAAAACTGGTTCAATTTTGCAAACAGCGGAAATACCATCTAAAAATAATCCGTTGACTCTCAATCTCACGACCTGAAGATTAATCACCTTCAATTGTTGCATCAAATGATGAGCACCCGATGAATAGAAAGCGAAAAACTCCGGCTAAATGTTAATCTCCACATCAACTGTTGTACCGGGTCTTACATAATGGTGAGCAAATGCTTTAAGGGCGTGCGAAGAAGGTAATTTTCCTAGGCTGTGTTGAGTTACGCTTTTGAGCTTTCGCTCTTGCAGTTAATAAGTTTTAACTCATTGGTTAATGAGTGAATTTTCCTAATTATATTTTGTAAACTGTTGCTCTCTGGTCGTTTTTCCAAGATAATCTTAATTACTTGCGGTGAAAAAATGAATAAAATTATTTGGTTTTTGTGCCAAAATCGGAGCTGTAACGGGTTTTCAAAAGTTTCCTGCAAACCGATGAATGTGGCGAATTTTGTAGCAAAATTAATTTTGTAATTTTTGGCTAAAACGACCCCATTATTGTCAGAAAAGAAGAAGATTTTTTTTATAAAATGTCAAATTCCTACAAAGCTATAAGTACATGTTGTAATTTTTCGGGTAAAATACATCCGGATTGTCAGTATTTTTCAGTAAAACTCTACAAAATGGAGCGTTTTTGAGTAGAACCCAAAGCAAAAAATCAGTCAAAACTGAAAAAGCAATTTTTTTTAACAAACTACAGTTTTCAGAGAAATGGAAGTGACGAGTTTACCCAATAAATGTCCCAATAAAAAGTCATCAACATTTTCCCAGCAACGGAACCGAGTTGAGTTGAGTTAGCCTAGATTCTCCAATACACGGTTTTTCGTTGAAATGACAAAAACCGTCCACAATCGTGCTTACCTCTGGATGTTCCACATACTCGACTCCATGCTGCGCAGTGGCGTTCGGCTCCACAGTGAACACCTTCAGCTTGCCCTTCTGGAACAGCCCTTCAGTGGGCAGCAGACTGAGGTTGAAGGGTTGGCCAAACGCCTGAAGCCGCAAGTTTTTCGCTGCATCTTTTGCTGGCGAATCAAGCGTGCTGGTAACGTTCCAGGGCTTCGGGCGTTTAACCAAAGGGTCCTTATCCTGGTCCAGGGAGTTGCCGCCTTTGGGGGGCGGCGCATCTATGCTGCGTTTCCGCACATGGTGAATGGGAACGATTTCGTAGTCGGGCACTGAAATTCAGAAAAAAAAAGTGATTAAGACATTGTTGCGCCTACAATTCAGCGCAAATCTCTCAATTATCATGCACATGCTAACAGCAGTTATTGTTTTGATGGGGCAACATGTTGGGGCCACGAAATTCAACAATATTCGCAAATAATTCGGCTGGTAAATTGGGGGCTAGTCGGTTAATCGGCCAACTCGATGTGAGGCACGTTTCCATTTGTCTTACGCAAAAACGCTGGCTATTTCCGAAGAAGCATCAAGTGCAGAATAAAGCGTTCCAATCTAATGTCAATGCCAAGGTACCGTTTCTTTACTATTCCCAGTAAATTGCAGTTATGCAATCTATCGATAATGTGTGGTGGGTGGCCAATTACCGAAGACAACTATCCCATTTGGCGCTTGATTGCAAAACGTTCTTCTGCACTTTTCAAAGTTATTTTCGGTTGGCATTCCCTGTCCTCATGGTTCGTTTGAGCAGTGTATTCGGCAATCGGCCTGAAACGCATCAGATCGCGCCGCAGGCCATCCTCGTTTAAAACCACTGACTGAAAGGGGATCGACATAGGGGGCGAACACTGTAGTGAATGTTTTGGCTATACACTGCCCAAAATTGCACAGATGAAGTTAAATTATTGACCGTCTTTAAAACGCTAAAGCAATATTTAAAAATACAAATGCGGACGAGATAAATTATGAATTTTAATGGCCACCGCACTAATCCAGCCACGCCGCAGTTCGCGTGAGCGATTTACCTTTTGCCTGCACTTAAATGTACCGTTAAACGTCACTGATTTCTTCGATTTATCGCCGACCTTCGATCGGGGTGCTTATTTTCCTGGCCTTGCCGATTTCAAGCTCGGTGCCGATCGAATCCGGACTTTCCCAGTGGCATTTTTTGAGGGAGCATAAAACCAATTTTTCCGACAACAATTTGCCCCACCCATGGACGCGAACTAGTTATGCAACCCGCTACGACCTACCACTGAAACAATAACTTTGCAGCAAAATGCAAATAATCGTGGGACTGCCGAATGACACACGCTCTTAATTATTGTTTTATCTGGTAACTTGCTATTGTGTTTGTTGCCCGCTTTACCGGCAAAATTCATGTGAGGCGACCACGCCCTAAACTTGTGCAATTGCCATTTGAATGCTAAACCGTTTAATGCAACAATGCTGCTTTGCTTTTAACAAATTGAGACAGTTGAAGTTTTCAGGAGTGTATCTTTTCTTATGTGCATCTCTTTCGCACCAACGACTGGTGCATCTCTATCCTTTCGGGCTGTTTAGCTTGGAACACGCTGCTCGAAAATTGAACGCGATTTCGCTCATTAAAACTACAAGGGCAATAGATGAAAAACACAATGCGTTATTATCGAAATATGCACAAGGATATTGACCCAGTTCGCATGATTATTGACCATATCACGATTGACACGGCGTTTCAATTGGCAATGCGTACGTTTTCAGCGTATTTGGTGGTCATTTTTTAGCTGCCAATGTCATATTTTGTAACCGATGAAACACGTGAATATAGTGGGGTGACACGGTTTTCCTTTTCGGGCAATGCAGTTTTCGTTATGTCAATCGAGAGACGAAACATACAACTAAAACTGTTTGAACGAACGTTTGAACAGTTCGTCACTGACCAAAACCCGTAGTTTTCAGCGTAGATTTCAATGAGTGATTCGAACATTGTCCAAACCTACGTCTCCTTATTGGGCAACGCTCCGCCATTATGCAGAACAAGAGCAAATCGGTCATAAATATGTGGCTTTGCATGGGCAACGGAACGTGAAAGCGCGCCACCACACCAAACAGCGTCTCGTAATATTTGACATTTGAGTGGAGCGCATCTCTCCCAAATATGCGCACCAAACTGACATTTGTAGAGATTAGACTGTGCGTGGTTTTGCTCCGGTAATTACCCAACGCATTAACCATCTTCAAGCCGATCTCCGTTGCACTCGCATTATGCAACACACACAACACGTTTCGCCATTGGAGACCAGGAAAAAATGCCCGTGAGAACTTGGCTAGCAAAATCCTGTTTCCAATCCAATCGGCTTTGAGGATTTCGTACAAATCGGCGGTACGGTCTGTGAACAATTGCCAAATCGAATATTTCAATATGACTGACACCGATTATGGCTTGTAAACGGTTTTGTAAACCAATCGCGCTAAACAGCCGAACGCCAAATAATAATAAAACCCAATTAGGAGGCGTAGAGTTTTGCAAAACCGTAGGAAGTGACCTAAAAAGCGTCGAATGTTCGATTGCGAGCCTTGAAGATTTTCGGCAAATTTAAGAAAAAATTCGTTGAAAACCACTTCAATTTTTCCGCAGCTTATTTGCGTTAGAGCAAGCGGCCGCGTAGCATCAATCGCTCTCGCTCCCACTAGGGCAACCCCGCATGCAACCCTCTCAACCAACTAAAGTCTTGTGATCTATTATACACTGCTCAACAGTTTAAATTATCTCATTTACGCGCGTTGGCAAATAGGAAATGGTGACAATTAGCGCGTGTTGGCCTATTTCAACAAGGAAACACACCCGATTTATAGAAAATTGGGCAACAAATGGCGAATGCAATGAGTGACAAATGGCGAAAACCCCTACTAATGAGACAAAGCTAATAGCGTTTCGATTGTGCTATTGGGCAGAACGTTTCTGTTCCAGTTTAGTTTTCGATTTAATTGCATTATGCGCGGCGATTATTTCGCGTTTTATTACGGAATCGAAATGGCGCAAAAAACACGATAACTTTTACGCCATGTTAACAGACAATAGTACAACACTCGTAAATAAACACACAGTTTTTACATAATCTTTGAACAACAAACACGACTTGAGTTAGTTGAAAACTTACCCAAGTGCTGGCTATCCACGTGAAATGTGTGCCGTAGCTCGTCCAATGTCATGTGTTTGTGAATCTGAAACAATGAAAACAAAGTAAATAACAAAAAAAACTGCACTGCCAACACTTTCACTCTCTAACCGGCTTTAAGAGGAAAAGCTGGCAGTTTTTTCCATTGGGAAAAACGACGGTTGGTGTTAGGATTTGGCAAGCAGCCGGACTGATGAAAAAAATAAAAACAATAATTGTCTTTCGAGTTTCTAATCCGTGTGTTTTATGCCGATTACCACACTGCAAATTTCTCATTAAAACACCCTTTTTCTGCCAACTATTGGCAACATTTATTAGTGCTATGGCAAATCGCAATGCAGGACTACAAGTTTTTATTCAAGTCTATGCACAGTTGCAATTACCACAGGCACAACTTTTATTAATTAACAGCCCAGCAAGGCCACCACGGTCCTGTAGCCTTTCACCCTGGAGTGCAGGCAACCGAAAATACACCCCGTTCGTACTACATATGGCCTGGTTCCACGCTGGACAGGACCGGACTTGCCTTCAATCGATAACTCAAACAAACATTAATTGTGCATTGTGCATTAGCATGACAATCGATATTTCTGCCAGGACAAAAACCGTTATTGTATAATTAACAAATTAGCCAGCCAACATGTATTACGTTACATTGTTATTGAATAGAGTGACTAATAAATGCCGGAAAATGAATGGATGGGTGTTACTTTGGCTAGGTTCCACCTTAGATGACATTATTAGTAAATATTTTCTCGAATTAAAAAAACCGGCTTCTGGTTGCCGGTATTCCTTTTGTAGTCAGTGTATTATACGGTCAGATGCACTGGAGAGAGAAGGATATCACTTAGTGTGAGGTGCAGTTAGTACAAAAATGCATTTGAAATGCCGAATAAAGAGGCATTGGCCTGCGGAAAAAGCTCAATTACTTTTTGGTGCTGAGAAAATGCAGTTCCTTCTTAAAGTAATCCACAGCAAATTTTCCAGCAGCATCTTCATCAGCCATCGATATTGGGTAAAACATGTCAGGGCTACCAACCACGCATTTACTCAATTTTTCAACGGCCACAAATTGCCGACATCCGCACTTAAAAATTTAATGGCTTCATATTGACCTCTAATCGCACAAATAGTTGAAGATTAGCGTCTTCATCAATAATCGATGAATCACGAGAGAAAAATCGCTCTTCTGCCCCACCAAGCAGGTAGCTGCAGCGTTTTGTTCGCATGCAATCATGCAAATCACTGTCTGATGCATCAACAAACAACTGCAGCTCTCAACAATGTTACTAATGGATCTTGGGCTGCGTTATTTGGCCGATCAATCTTCAAATACACTTAAAACATCGAGGGGTCAGTAGTCGCGGTGCAATTTTTTCTGTCTGCAAATCTTCAATGGGGCAGGCAGAATTAACCAGTCATCGAGAATAATTAAGGACCACTCCACCCCTGCGCTCTGCCGATAGGCAACCGAGCATGCCTGAACGCTATTTGGGTCGGTCCGATTGTAGCAGGGGCGCAAAAAGTCAGGACCGGCTTTGCCCAAAAACTAGAATTCCTTGAAGTGTCGCACCATTTTAAACAAACATTCCGATACAGAACTATTAGCGACTTATCGATGTCAAGTAAGGCTGGTTAACCGTCTTCGTACGTCCATCCATCATGGGATTACAGCGCCACTTTATCGCACATTAATACATAATAAATTACATATTAATAAATCAGGCATTATTTCCCGCAAAAATGCTAATAGTGGAATTAAATACCTTCAGCATGCTCAAGGACTTCATTAATTAGCGACCAGAACTCGTTTGATCGGTTTCACAACAGTCACCACAACAGTGCCACGTTGGTTTTTTTCGTCTTCAGGACAAATTCGCAATTTTGCAACAAATCAGCCCTGATTTCCCATTGGTCGACTACCCTACCAGCGAACGATTTGAAGGCTAGAATGTCGTAGAAACTGTATCAGCAACGCCCAATCAATGTCGATTTCCTGTCCCATTATGTCAACAAATCGGCCATTAAACGCAATAAATAATAAGGGGAAAATGTCGCCGAAGAATTTCTCCTTAACAGTCTTGACAGGTTGGAATCGATGGGGCGGCCGAGAATGAGGAACTGTGCAACTCCATAAATCTAATCGAGCAATGCGTGAAATATCTTAATATTTCAAAAACAATTACGAAAAAACAATGATTAATTGCTTCCTAGATTGGTTGCCGAACGTCAATTAATCAGAAACCTAATCGATGAGATAAATAATAACGTGATTTTTTCTGCGTTAAAGTTGAAACAGTCGCCCGCCCGCTGCTGGGAACAGTTGGTGGCCGATTTGCCCCGAAAAAAGAGTGCATCCATTGCAGCATTCAAAGACCTTGTTAGAGTAAAGGATGTAAAACAGGAAATGATGGTATTTGCCTTGACACTAGCCAGCACCATCTTCACGCGATGATTTTTACCCACACAAAGCTACAAGGAAGGAAGTTGTTAAGATAAAAACCGCGAAAAATCCATGCGTATTTGAATAGCGCACCTGCCCTAGGGCAAGTGCAACCCTGGGCAAGCGGTTGACGCTATGCGCAGAAAATTCGCAAGTCTCACACAGGACCGGCATGGACAAAAGTTTTGCAGAAAATCGCCAGCTCATTGTTGATATTGCCAAACACATGTGAGTTGGGATCCAAATAAAAACTAATTAATTACACGGCATAAAATAGCGATTTTAATTCTAATAGAGTGGCTGGTTTTTTGCTGTGGGTTAAACTGTCGATGAACGGGCATTAAAGTGGAAAATTTAACAAAGAATTATCGAACAACAATGGCAAAAACTACAAAAAATTGAAGGGCACAGCCCGAAAGTGATCGCCTACCTTGAGCGTTGATTGAAATGTTGCCAACACAAAAAAAACCACTAGACCCCCAACAAATCACGTTGGACAATTCCCACTAAAAACTCAATTATCAACAATAATCTGGTCAATAGCACCGATGGATGACACTAATAACCTCATTAACAACACCGCTTTCGATTGCTGCTAATTTGTTTAACATTGAGGAGGCATTATTACTAGATGTTTTACAGTCGGTAAAACGCAAATTACTGGCCATTGTTTCAATGAGCTCGTATTATGCAGAGAGAAAAACCGGCAATTAACGCCGATTGTTCATGAGTCTTAATCACAGAACCTCAAATTCTTTCACTTACCTCGAAAGCCGCACAGTTGTTGACCAGGAAAACAGCAGCCATGACAGTAATCCTAAGCGCCATGTTGAGTCCTGGAAAAGGAAAAAAGCCTGTCAAGTCAGTCGGTAGAAAACCAAATAAAGTCGATGATTTCTTGCCAGCGTTACGTCATACGTTAATTGCCCAGTCAGACAATAATCATCAGGAAAAATCATTCAAACCACGTAAAATCATTCAGCTGCTTAAACCCGATTGTTTCCGCAATTTAATCTTCACACACGTGGATTGATCGCATTAATGGAACAACCCCCGTAGGAGGTCTCCATGGCAACCAATTTACCTCGCGAGTGGCAAATTCCCATGCGAACACCTGCCTATTACATAATAAAATGGCGAAAACAGGCCAAAAACCGTTAATTCCTAATGATAATCCGGACCGGGTCCAGTCCGAGTGACGGTTTTATAACCTCCCAGTTTTCGGCCATAAAACAAGACAAATGGGAGTCCGCAAATCTTGGATCGCCTTGACTGCTATTTTTACGAGATTTGCCTAATCGATTAGGTGTTATATCCGCTTAAAGCCATGTGTTTGAATAAATCGTTGACAACAGCCAGTGGCGACTCGTCCTTGCTTGAATAGCGGCAGCCAGAGATTGAGTTTTTTTCTATAAAGTCTAGTGTGGATGGCCCCTCGTAACATCAGTGGTTCATGAGTGGTGTCTGCTGCAGTGGACGGGAGTGAGAGGCCAATAGCAGTAACCATGGCAACCCGGCGATCCTTGTCACACTAGACCGACATACGGGGGGCTTTCGCAAAGTTTCCTACTGTTCACCGTCGAAGAAAACGACGAAGTAAAAACCACTTTGTTTAATACGCAATCCACTATCAATACAGTGGCAGAAAAAGTGCAATAGCATACCATAATCCACCCATTGAGCGGATTTTTATCTTCATAACGGTACCGTTATGGTAGGCTGGTGGACAAGGAACTTCGAGTACGTAGTAAAAAATCGAAAAGCTTTCATACGTTTTTTTCCTCTGGTGTTATTATGTAGTTGCAATGGCCGCTTACGTAATGACATTAGGGCGGTGTGGGCACCATTAGGCATCGCTAAACCAGCTAGTAGCTGTCTATTCTAAGGCGACTGTGCATATTAATCAGGATTGTTTATTAACTGTTGTTCCATTGTTATTTGCCGATATGTTTACAGTTAGATTTGATCGGCCCTCGCCCATTGGCCAGAACTTGAGCGTTCAAGTCGCTCAGTCGATTCGAAAAAAAAACTGTAAATTCAGCCTGTTTGGATCTTACGTAAATAATAAATGATGACATTAAGGTTATAAATTTGCTAGTTTATTGTCTCAGAAATGCTAATTAGTATTCCAGCTGACCACCGGTCTGATTTGCATATGGTTATCTTCAAAATTTAAGCGAAAATCCCAAATGCTAATCATTCCCCCCATTCAATCCAATTAACCAGAATTCTTAAGCGTCAATCAGCCAATAGTAAACAATGTGCAAACAGTGGCGTTTTAGTCAAAAGTGTCATAAAAAACTGTCAATCCCTAATGGCTGACAGATATGAAACGAAACCTATGTGAAGGTTATGTGACATAATGTTCTACCAATTAGCTTATCAACCAATCAAAACAGGGAGTGTAAACTAGTGTGTTGCCCCAACAGTGGCGAATCGAAAAAAAACAACAACAATCAACAATGGAAAACACTTATCAGCCGCCCGTGTTGAACCGAGAGCAAAGTATACGGGGGCCAGTGGCAAACTTGTGCAATAGAAGAATTATTGCCGAATGATTACAATTAGGATCGCGTCGATTCCCCAATGTCTGGGTTGCCGTTTTGCCCAATGGCTGGTGGCAAAATATGATTTTTTCCGCCGATTGCCAAACGACGAGCAAAAAGTTACACAAAACACGGTAAATCGATCTTTTTTCGCTTGTGATTCATTGGATTTCGATCGCTTGGTTGCCACATTCTTACCATATTGCTGTCGATCTTTCGTCAAACCGAACAAAAGCAAAAGTCGGGAAAAATCGCAATTGTTTGACGAGAAACAATAGCGGTATGTATTCCTATTCCTGCGGCCGTTTCCACTCGAGATCATTCAACTTTGTCCCAAACGCGCCCGGTATAGTGGCGGTTTCCCGGGGCAACCACTGTTTGCACCAATCAATGGCGGGGTGGATTCGCTACAGGGAGCGCTCGTAAATTTCCGGGGTATGAGTTGGTTTTGGGCAACTGTTTAAAAAAAGATCTAGCGAGTAATGGTCGTATCAAACCATAATTAAATAATATACTGAATCAAATCCATCGGTTATGTAAATCGTGCCCGAACATACAACAGAAACGACTCGCGGACGCGAGAAAGTTGTTACTCGATTATTATGCAACTCGGTTGGTTCGAGCGATTTTTAATGTAGGTTCTGCTCTCCCACAACTAGCCCATATTGCTAAACTGTTTATAAACCCGAACTGATCAAAATCGATTTAATTTCTTAACTTTTGCACGTTCCGCCCAATTTAACCGAGATGGCACTAATTCAATGACCCAGACAGTGCTGGATGGGACCGTTTTTTCGCTCCCAAACCAACGCCAACTGAACTCTCCTAATACCTCATTTGACCTTAAACGACAATTATTCGAATCAACAGCGAATAAATGGTTGGAAAGTTATTCAACTCATGCATGCTTCGGCTACTTTTACTTTCAGCTCGGTGTCGACATAGGAAAATGAACAATAAAATGGAGATAAACGGAAAATTGCAGCAAACAGCCCTGGTAAACTAGATGTGAGTGGGTGGCTACCATGGCAACCAGTATGACGCAAGTGCAATAGCACTTACCGGGTGGCGTCAAGTAGTAAATTGCAAATAATGAAAATGCGCTTAATAGCAAAGAAACGCGATTGGGTCCAGAAAAGAGCCGATTAAGCCGAAAAACGTGATCGAACAAACGGAAGTGCATGACAAGGCTGGAATTATTAAAGCCAGAGTGTAATCAGCATGACAAAAGCTGTTACATGAGCAAAGTTACATTTCAAGAAAACCATAAATAACACGCAAATGCACTCATTTGTTTCCAACAGTGTCACAATCATTGTCAAATTACTGGTTGGGGTTTGTTTGGATTAGTTTGCCTGCATTTAGTCTCTTTTGAGTTTGTTTCGGTTTATTCAGGATCCAAGAAAATATCTGCCTTCAAACAAAGTATGTTTTCTTGGACAAATAAAATTTGCAAAAAATCGCCAAGTGTTTTGGGCCACCATAGTGACTTTGCTAGTCGAATTTGTGAGTTTCCTAGAGATCAACTACGGTGATTTTTGCAAAAGATTCATCTGCGCCAACTTGCAAAGTTTTCGCATAGTTTCATGAGAAACGGCAACAATTACCGGTTTGGGTTACCTAGTTGAAGGCACTTAGCACGCAAATAATGCACCAGAACTTAATCGAAGGCTGAACCAATCGAATCTCATTTGCTTATCGACAACTTAATAACACGATTGTCTTCTCCAATTGAACCCACTCTGATTTGGCATTTTCAGTTTCGATTGGCCTGAGCAGGACGGTTTCCATGGAAACTGAATAAACCATCAAATCTGGAGTTGATGATTCAATATCTGTAAACAATTCAAGAACAAATGGCTGCGACATTTCAATTAAACGAGTACAAAGTGGACAATGGCTCGAACAGGCCGAGAGAACGGTCGCTAAATGAAAATCAAACACCTGTATGAATTATTTATCAAGAAAACTGGTTTTCGGAATTAGCTAAAAGCTGATTGTGAGCCGGTGGCCGAAAATTGTTAAGTTCTCGGAAACGACGGCTCTTCGAGATGAGTTCAGTTGCCCCGATGTCGAGTTTGAAGCAATCAGGCGATCACAGTGGCCTGGTAGAAATTGACCAACCCCTGTAGCTCGGAGGGGTGGTCTGGCAAGCGACACCTAGAGCGCCAATTGGCCCCAGCGGCCAGTTTCCATGGAAACGGGGAAGACAACCAACATTGCCAAAGTGTTGCAAATCACCAATCGACCTCCGATTAGCGGGATTGCGGGTACTTTCAACTTGCAATTTCCGTTTAATAGCCAAGTTTACACCAGTTAGATAATGCCGAGGCAGTTATAATAATTAAAGCAATTAAAATGTGAAATATGTGCACACGGTAAAACACAATACTCTAGTTTCGGTTCAGTTCCTTTCACTGTACCTTGGGGGAGTTTTTGCGGGCTTTTTACTTTAAGGAAAATCGCACCTTTGACAAGAAACTGATGTGATTTTTTGCGGCACAATTAGTCAGTTAAATATCGCAAAAATATGGGGAAGCAATGAATTAAACTGATGTAAATCTTACCAATGGCAGCGCCCGTCCTTCTAGAGCAGCGCAATAAATCCGCAGAGAAAAACCAGTCCGAATGGGTAAAGCGAAGAAAATAATTGAGCACCAACCACTATCAGCAACAGCGAGTCAACGACACGCTTCGAGTTAAAAATTGTCGAAAAAATGTCATTATTCGGTACAAAACGCGCGAAATTGTTTCTTCGGTGCTCCCGTGTGTGTCTGTGCGTTTGTATGCTACCGAAGGAGAAGTGAAAGAGCGAAAATCGACCTCTGACCGTGTGTCCAGGTCCGATCCCGAGCTGATACTGACAAAAAGCGCAACTTTGCGCCCGAATAAAACTGTCGAAAATCGCGCCGTCAACTTTGACGAAAACAACGAAGAAAAAAAACACGAACGTCACCCGTCATACAAAAAAACAATTGGCGCGCGCCGGCTCTGCGCTCAGCCAACTCTGCGCTCGCGGATCGGGCGTATTGTCCTCGGCCACCGGCCGCAGAGAGGGAAAGTTCTTGGGGAATGGGGGAACGTCGACCAATAAGGAACTTTCCAAAAGAAAAAATCAACCAGTTCAACCATCAAACCGCCGCTGTCTATCACAAAGAATTATCTAGTGTTCAGTGCCAAAACTCCCAACTATCCCTAAATTGTTCACGCAGAACTTCCAGCTAATCCTCCAATGACAATCTTTCCAAAAACAAAATAATTGTCACTCCAGTCAAGTTGAGTTTATTCCACAGTGTTGCCGTCCAGTTGACCTAATCGAGCCGAAACAATCGCAAGCAATTTGTTCGGTTTTGCGCCGCCTTTCCCTACCTCTTCCAGTTGGCACAAACTTGCGATTTGAAAGAAGTGAAAGGAAAATGTTACTTGGACTGGCCGCCGTTCCTTTGGTTACGTATTGCGGGCGCCATAGCGGCAACGTTGCGGCATTTCGGTGATTTACCGATTCCCGGAAAGCCGTTAACTGCGGCAACCCTGTGGCCGGTAGTACTGAATTTTGGCAATGAGATTGGGCAGGGGGCGTCTTAGGTCGGGAGCGTTTTATTCGCGAATTCAAGTGTCCAAACGCTACTTGGTGGCTACAAGTATAACTAGTAATTTGACACTTGGTGTTTACATCTGATTGGGTTTTGTTTTGTTCTAATCAACTTTTGCAAGCCTTTTATTTTTGTTTTTTGCATTCAATTCATTCATTTATTTACATTAATTTTTGTTACAATTGCAGCTCTCCAACTACATAGACACGTCTGGCAAGTCTCAACTGTCACTCGCCAATGAGTAATTTGACGTCCCGCAGCGCCTCTATCGGTAGTTGAACACGCGAATTAAGCGGTGTTGTGTGCACAAAAATCACGTTCTACGAGAAATTGGATGAGGCAAAAACTGCGACGAAAAACTGAAAATTGTGCCAATTAGTAAAAAAATCGAGCGTTTCCCTTTAACCAACCGCCAAAATTTGCAGAACAAGCGCACAAAAATCGCGGTTTAAGGAGACTTAACAGACAGTTTTCTCTATTAAACGCTGGGAAGAACCAGTTTGATCTGTACTGGTTTTGCTGTAATGAATATTGAAAAATTGCGTACGAAAACGCAAAACCCCTGAAAACCGAACGCAATAACTAATTCACAAAATGTCAACCAGTTTGCTGTTCTGTTTCAATTAACTTTAGGCAGTTTTTTGACTCCGATATAATTAGGAAGGCAAATCCAAACCGCCCAAGGCATCCGCAAGCACTGATATCGAAAAAAACTTTAAATCAAGTACCTCTCCAGAATCAAATCAACCAGACACGAAACGATTGATCTTGCAAATTAATGCAAATGACAAAAACCCATTTTGGATGGCTGGCAATTATGTAACCATCAAGAGCCGTAGCGTTGATGGGTGTCGTACATCAAAGCGGATTTACGGTATTCATTATGGGGCCGAAACCTCGACGGATTTATGAAAATTAAACACACGTGAATGATTAAAACATGCTTAAAACGTTCAGTTCCCGGTGAGTTTTGCAAAATTCATGAACCCAGTCAACACATTTAAATAGACCAGAACCTACAGGGCGTAGCAAAGTCATTAGCGTTTCGTCAGTCGATACTGGAAACCTTTGCAGATCGTCTACTTCAGTGGCACGCCCTGTAGAACTCGAAGTCTATTCTTATAAATTTCTTTGAATTGTCCTAATCCCGTTTATCTAACCGAAATCAACATGTGGGCAATTAGCATAAGAGATTAATGACTTAATGGACACCATGGGGGGGTAAACAAGACCAACATGGAAAGAGTTAAGCCGCTCAAACCAAGCGGAATAATCAGAATGCAAATGCTTAAAGATCGCGAACGTTTTAGGCACATTTGAAAAGCTTTGAGGAATCGTTCTAACATCTTATGCTGCATTCATCATTCTGTCTCAGAAAATCTGGACAGAATACCGACAGAAGACCCATCAGCTAACCACATTGAATAATACCGTGGTGTTATTTAGTTCAAATGAATTCAAATAATGAAACATAATTATTTCAAACAAACTTTCAACTGCAACAGCACAAAACTTCCAACTTGTCGACATGGTAGAAGATATCAATATGATACTCACTTTGGCTGTTATCCCCGCAGTTCCCATGCTCAAATGCAACACCAACGGGAAAACTTGCAAACTTCCCGGAATTTTGAGGGAAACCTTTGACTAAACCCCACAAATGGTATGCGCGATGACGCCATTTTGTGTAGAAACCTCACATGCGCCAAGTTCATATGTAGAGAAATCCCCTGGATTCCTTAAACGCATGGTTTTAATCCCATTGAGATTAAATGCAGTATTTCTGTTATCAAAGGCCCATTATTGATTAGAGTAGTGATTTCAGGCAAAATTAGGAAACGTTGGTGCCCTGGGCGCGCCTACTCGCTTTTTCTAGTCTGGGCTCAAAATTTGCTGTAGGAAAGTCAAAGGAAACTCACCCAACACTCCCGGGGCACTCTGGCTGGATAAAAGTCAAGTTTTTCCCGACAAAACTCAACTGCTGTCACTGAAAAACCACCATTTTCTCAAGAAGTGTCAATTGTTTGCCCAAGTTTTCAGGCCTGCCAATCTGGGGATTTCAAAATGGCCGGTCCATGTGGGATAAGCCAATTATTCTATTGCTTAGAAATTAGAAAATTTAATTGACTAGGACCCTTTGACATAAAAATTCTGATTTTCTGAACATTTATTGAACAAATCCACACTTTTTAAATAAAGCCTAAAACTCTAACATAGGTATAAAAATAATTTATTTACACTCCAACTAGCAGGAAGCTCCGCCATCTGCATCCTACTTCCTCTCATAGACATCCACGTATTTCGCAGTAGAGTACTGCGGCCTCCTTTGCTGTAAACTGATGTTGATCTCCTCAGGCGACCGGAAAACCTGCCCGACTTGGCCCTGGGGGCGGAACGTGGTAGAAGGCGCTGCGGCGGCTTGCTGTTGTTGCTGTTGCTGCTGGTACCTGGGCGCATTGGTCACACGAACCTATTTGACAGAAAAACGCATTCAAACCCCTCAAAGCGCCTCCAATCGCCTCAATTTACCGAGTGCTGATGGTGGACTGGGCGCTGGTTGTCCTCTTCGTCGTATCGGGGCCTGTAGGAGTCTGGGAAGTACCGGTCAGAGTAGCGCAGGCTCGTGTTGGGTCTCTGTTGGTATTCTTCGAGGTTAACCGGCTTGTAGAGATAATCGTTGACAAAGTGGTAGTCTGAGGACTTGTCGCAGATGTTGTCACCGCTAGGTGGCATGCAAATCAGCTGGATCTGGATATTTAAATAAATGGTTAACGAGTCACCGCTAATGCCCGGTTGCACCGTTTGACTAAACAGTGATTGAAAATTTAATCGTTGTTTAGTTTGAAAAATATGTTGTACCGTCGCTTAACCACTGTTTTGTGTATTCTAAACAACCATTATATTAACCGGCACTTTTTGGCTGATTAGCGCCCGATTAGGGACCGTTTAGTATATTTTCTTGTTTTTTTTTTATTACGGGTGACAGTGGCTATGGTCTTAGATCCTATTTGTTAGCCCTTTTAGTTAATCCTGCAACAAGAGCCGAAATTCTATACAATAAGTCCCATTAATTAACCCCATTAACTATAATAAATATTATAATAAAATAACACCCAGTTTAATGTCAAAGGAGATTAAGTTTTTTCTTTTCTACTTTCAATCATTAACAATTCCTCTCCCAAGTTCTTTTTCTGCAAATCTGCTAGTTCTAGCCATTTATCTAGCAGTTGGTCGTATTTTTCAGCTATTTCAGACCTTGTTAGAGCTTTGATTTGAATTGTTAGTCGACGTCCAGTACATGCTAGTATAGCAGTCAGTAGCATAGAACAAGGCTTATATATATTATATATTATAGGTCAGTAGTACACATATATGAAGACAAGGAGTACACAATAAAATATAACATAACCAATATATTACCGGCCGCGTTGCTGCAAAAGAACAAGTCATTTTTTGACATTCCACTTACTTGATGGAAAGTGAACCCTTCGGGACAAATCCAGGAGTGACGGGCGTTGTCATGGCAGTAGTGGAAAACTTCGCACCCCAACTCCTCATCTGCATAGTAGCCGGTTTTCTTTCCTTGGCACTGGAACTTGGACTGCGGGAGCAGCAAAGTGAGCCTATCTGGCTCCTCCTCCTCCTCCTTTTCCTCCTCCTCCTCCAACCTGTTGGTCTATAAGGGCCGGTCACCAGGCAACCCATTGAATCCAGATCCACTTACCTTCTCGCCGGCCCTTCGGTACTGCTGCTGGGTCTGCGCAGGCCTCGCGTCCGGCTTGGCGTACCCTTTGGGCGTGACAGTTGCGTAGTAGGTGGTTTTGGGTGCAGCCGTCGGGTAGGCGTAGGTGGGCTGTCGATCTTGCGTCGGTTCGGGCGCATTGTCCTGCTCGTCGTACTCCTCCACCTCCTCATAGGCTACCTGGAGGTGAAAAGAACCTACAGAGAGCGCTACAGGCGGATCAAACCTTCTTACAGTGGGTCTGAAGGTTTTGAGGGTGGCGCCGAAGCCTTTGTTCTGCAGGTAGCGCACCTGATCGGCCCTAAGCTGTGTGTATGCCGGCAGGCCTGCAGTCACACCCTGGCCTTGAGGCAGTGAGGCCGAAGTGCTCAGATAGACACATAACACTGATAGCGCCAAAAAGATCTTCATTCTGAAACATTGCCTTTAGAATTTAGCGGGCTTTGATAGCGTTATTTGTCAGTTTGACGTTATTGACAATTACAGCTGTCAATTGGCCTGACTCATGTCACGGATTGTTGGAGAATAGTGCGACCAATTGTAAATGAGCAGCAAAAAATCTCGGCCATTTTGCAAGAACGGGGTTCTATTAAAATGTAACAAATGTAATAATTGGCAAATGCAGAAATCCCGCGCGTTTGCACTCAATTAAGCTGTGAGGAAAAATCGGCATTTGAACGTGGTGAAAGGAATGTGCCAACTAGTTTGGAAAAAAAGGCTGAAACTATAACGAACGCGCGGATGTCGAGAACGTAGTTATTTGCTGCGTGGATAGTTGCTCAACATGCCCGTAATGATAGAGCGCCAAACGGCAATTTGAGCGATAAAACCCATAATTTGATTGATTGATTGGCTTTGAGGCAATAGCGGCTAATCGACGATAGTTGACTTTGTTTTAAATCGCTGTTGCAAGTTGCGCTCAATGTCGAATGAATCACGACTATGTGATTTGAATGGGATTTTTCAGCTGCAGCTCTGAATGTTCAATGTTTGACGAAAACCCAGTGAAAACGTAATTAATTTCAGTGCCTTATATGGAGTTTGAGATTGGCATTTGACATATGTCAACCATTTTTCTTGAAGCAAAAAATCCAATTTGAAACGGAAAAATTGCATAGTTGTGAAGAAAAACTGCAAATTTTGTCGCAACCGCAAAAAGTTGAAGTTTAAAGCAACTTGAAGGATTGACATTAATAACATTGACATTTGAGGCTTTATGTCAATAGTTTGACGTACAGTCGCGATTCAAAGTCGGAAAAATGTGCAGTTTAGAAGAGAAGTTTCAAATTTAAACTCGAAATCTCTGCGTTGAAGATGCTATTTCGGCACGACGTCGAGATTATAAACTTTAGCTGTGATTTCTAGACTTTAAGTTTGAAGTTTCTCTTCTAAACTGCATGCTATTTCGACTTTAAATCGCGGCATCAAACTTGAAATGTCAAGTTTAATAGTCCCAATTCTAATTAAGACGAATTTGTGTCGATTAAGGGCCCAAAACCAATCAAAATCGCCGCCCAGAAATGTCTCTTCAAATCCCAGTTTCGATCAAGATCAAGATCGAAGATCCTTTCACTTTCGCCTGGTTCGAAGCCCCATCTAAATTCCCCGATTTAATTGGGCCTAATGGCAAGAACGGTTCTGGTTCCTTTCCTTATCGTACCCAGTTTAAACGATTTATTGTTATATAAATTAATGAATAAGGATAAAGTTGGCAATTCCTTATACGTGCCAGCGTTTTCGATCGCGAAACGTATTGAATAATGTTTGTTAAGTAAGCGTTAATAGAATATGGAATTTGTGAATATTTTGAAAAACACATTTAATTGTGCAATTTCACCTGTTTAGACCAATTCTACGATAGATTGAGAGACTTGCATGGCTGACTCTGTGCCATTATAGTTCCAAGCAGCACCGGAATGTTTCCATTAGATGTCACGCTTCTTAATTGTTTCACTTGATGGCTTAATAACACCAAAGTGCGCCTTTAGGTCGACAATTAAAAAAATATATTGCCAATCTAGACCAGAAAGAGAAATTAATACTCAAGTGCATCGCGATTTGCCAAGCAGGAGAAATTGTTATCGCTCGACAACTGTTACAAGACTCATTCTCACTTTTAGAGAAGATAGTAAATACTACTTGTTTTCTAGATGTGAAAAACCACAATATAAAAGACGCACTTTCTATTTATTCACTTTTTTGAAAAAATCAAGGATTCAGTTGACGTCATTAGTGAAGGAGCAACTTTAATATATTACTGTTAATGGCATTTGACAAGCGCGTAATAAAAAGTCGTTTTTGTGTCACAAATTTAACCGCTTTTTAAGAGCAATTGACCTTAAAGTCGTTCAGGTAATCAAATTTCAGCTTAAATATCGCATTTTCAAGCTGCAAGACTTCAAACTGAAAATATTGACGAAGTGCAATTGAAAGCTCAAAACGATCGTTGTTTTAAACCTTTAACTGCATATTTTTACTTTATCTTCACAATCGGACTTTCCGAACGTCCCGACTCAACATTTTTCGACTGACTCGAGCCGCAAAACTCAACTTAAACTTGGCATTTTGCCACTCAACTTGAAAGTTTCGTGACAATGACATGTGACCAGTAAGCTCGACAGTTTTTTTTAACATAAACGCTTGTCTTTGAAGGTTTTTCCGTAAAATATCACCGATCTATTCCAAACAAAAACTGTTCTCGAAGTTTTCAAAAACATGGCAATACTTCCTCCCGACCTCATAAACGCAACACAGAACACTCGAACATCTTCCTCCGGGTCTTCGAAAACTTCTTTAAATATAATTTTCAAGCACAGAAGCACACACTGTGCGCAATAAAATTGTAGAAAATTCATTTCAAATTCGCTGTGTGAGAACTTTTCTAACTCGGTCAAACAGGAAACTTTGACTTAAGTGAACTCCAACTCCAAAGTAAGTAGTTTATTAGAGGTCGTTGACATCGCTCATGTCAGCCTCGAGTGCGGCCATTTTAGTTAACTTCAAATTTGAGTGAAGGTTTGAGTTGTGCGTTAACAGTGCGGTTTTCTTGCAAAAAAACTGTGAAATTTCCAGGAAAAAAGGTCTGGAATTCAAGCAGAGCGAGCACAGGGACTAACATCGTTTGGTGAGTGTTTTGTAGCTTTAATTTGCGACGAAAATGGGACTTGAATGAACGTTTTAGTATATCATTGTCATGGGTGAGCCTAAAAGTGCCTCCAAAATTGCAATTGCTCTTCAATAACCCACAAATACACCCCCAAACAAGTTTCCAAATTCCAGTCGAGTATATTAGTGATTCAGCACAGTTCTAGATCGAAAACTTTTGCTTTTCGCGTATTTCATAATGCGGAAATTAAAAATTCTCGACCAGCCACTAATTTGAATAATCAGGGAGCGTCTAATGATGAGACGCTAGTTCTAGTAGATATTGTTGCGACATGGTTGGGTTTTTTCAAAACCTGTGGCAAGACTGACCACCAGTGGCCCCAAAGTTGAATTTGCTGAGAAAACTGCCCGGCAACACCTGCCCGTACAGCCCAGAAAACTTTCTCCTATGCAATCGATGAGAAAATGGTCTAAATCAGTGGCATATAAGAACCGGGCTTGTTGTGGTCAGACGACATCTTATGCAACACGTTGATTCGCGTGATTTACATATATGTATAACAAACGAATTATAAAATTGTTGATTAAAAGCAAGATTCACATGTCCCGAGCCTTGGTATTTAGCAGCCAGGAAAGAGCAAGGTCGTTGATGATTTTTGGATTAAAATTCCATCGGTTCTTCTTATGCGAATATTACACGCACTGATTACGCGAGCTGGTGGAAACAGGAAGAAATTAGATGCAAATGAAACTGGGCCATACTAGCAACCAGTTGCATAATGATTAAAAGGTGTTTTATAATGATCATTATTACTATTGCGGCAGAAATACATGTTTAAAGACGCGTGTTTTCATCAATCACCGAAAGAAACCCCGCCGTTTTCGCTTGAAATCCGCCCGATGAAAAACCGGCAATTTTATGCGATTTATTGACGTTCTTTCGGTGTTTTATTGTGCAGATAAATAAAACCCGATTCACCACGGTCCACATAAAGCCAGCCGCTTTCTCCTCAAGACAATGAATGTCGGCCCAACTGCAAAAAAACCAACAGCGACTCCCAAATGAAGACAGCTGGGAGAATAACATAATTTAGAAACAACCCATAGTAGTCATCCATAAAGGTCAATGCCAATTCGTGATTGAACTGACTGTATTTATCGCACGAAGTCCTCGGTATTCCGGATTTAGACAATGGACTGCCCAAAACCAGGATCGGTTCTTTGAAGAATCAATTCGACCATTCGCGCCCATCAAGAAGATGCTTAAATGCCCTGAAGCATCTTCAGCCCTAACACGAAACCTCTTACTTACATGTCTAGTGGTTCTATTCCGCAAGTTGGGAGCAAAAAAATCACGGCACTGTACTGATCGCGGTCGTGGATCGACTCTTGTCCAAATTGCATCGCGAGCTCCCCAGGTGTACCAAGAAAGTCTTCGCTGGGGGGGAGCACTTTCGCGGGGGTTCTGCCCTGCGGGCCAGCGACCGGGCCCCGCTCGTACTCTTACTTTCGGTGGAATTTATGAATAGTCCACGGGCCAGTCCCAAACCTCACATAACACACACACACTATATATTATCCACAAGCAATTTATACACATTTTACAAGGATGGCAGAAATCATCAGAGCAAATCAGCACCCAGGCACTGATGATCGGTAGTTGATAGACTCCAAACTTGTCGGGTTTTTTTGACACGCTTGTTAAAAATTGCTGGCGGAGAATAGCGTGTGCTTTTCTATTCAAAAAAACTTGGACTTTTGTGATTGTTTGCCCCCATCCAGGCTTCTTAGAACCCTGCACTATTCAATTATTTTTTCGCTTTGATGAATGAGAGCGCTGTTGTGCAACCTGAAACGCCCGGGACTGGTGTGGCACTTACTAGCGCATTGATTAGCATTACTCATTGGCCTCATTCGGGACTACAATCGCTTTCAAGCGACCAAACTTCCAACCCTCTTTGAATGATTGGCCCTGCTGCGAAGTCCACTCGGAGGAGAAAGACTGTGCTAAGCGCCAAGAAAGTGAATGGCCAAGACAATGCGTGAATGAGCTGATTTAAATATTCATGATCTCGATCCGATACAAAGCGATGTTCTCACAGCTGAGTGCTTTCGAGAGCGTGTCCGGAAGAGCGCATTGATTTGCTCGCTAAAAGAAGAAAGTGGAAATTCACTGTTTATCTTGAGCATACCGGTGGACCGTCCTGGACTAAGAAACCATAAAATCTGATTGGATTGTTTAATTGCTCGAACACTCCAACTGACTTAACCTACTTAAGATATATCAGACCATTCAGCGCCTAGAACCGGCGTTTTTGGGTGCTGATGTACAGCACATTGTTGCCTCGGATAAACGCATCTCCAAACTTGTTCTTCAGCTGCCCGTTCACGTACTCTTCGGTCTGCTCCAACGCGATGTTCATGTAACCGTCCAGGCAAGCCAGAACTCCTGGAAACGCCGCATATTTCCAAAAATGCCACAAAAATATCGCCGTTTTTCTTACCTCTATAGTCCACGCCACTGTTCAGCTTTACCACCACAGGTCTGGAGTGAATCTGCTGAATGAAAGTCGATAGGGCTTCTTTGCGGCTCATTTTCAAGTCGGGGTTATCGTAAAATGCCAAAAACCACAACACAGTTTGAGGTTAGATCCGGACCAGACCCACAGAATAATGAGCAACCAAATGAAGTTTGCATGTTTATAAACTTTTCAACCATAAATGACAAATTAATTTGCAAAAATGTAAAAATAAATCAATTTCCAGCCCCCAACCAACTCTGTGTCTCAACTATGTAACACTTAAAATCTTAACTTGTTTTTATCCCGACCTGTCAAAGATGGTATCCAACCAAAGTAGTGGTTTATTCTGTGGGAGCTGTTACACAACAATCGAGGTTATGCGTTAAGTCGAGATCAAAATACACATCAAATTGTCAGTGGCCCTAAAATGCCCCCTAAACCGAACGTGAAAGTCCACGACGTGAACCCGTTCCTGCAGCACTTCCGTCAATTCCTGCTGGGACGCAAACACACGCTGGCGCTGCGCTATAAGGACTTTCTTGCCACAAGATCGCCCCCTCAGCCAGTCCTGCCTGACGGCCCCAATCACAAGCTGAGCGACAATTTCTACTGCAGCCATGACGGTCGCAGGGAAGCGCAGCCACCCGAAATAATCGCGGCCAGCCGCAGTCGAATTGAGGACGGCGCCCCCGAAGTTCGGCGCATCACCCCAGGAAAAATCCATCAATGGGACTAGATTTGCTATGATTAGTCGTAAATTTTAGATTGTCTCCAGTAGGGCCAATAGAGCTTTAAACATGTGTAGGGGGTATTTGATTTTGGGGCCCTGATGTTTATGCAATGCCTTGTTTTTTAGAAACAATGAGGCTTTAGGGGAAATAAAAAGCCGTAATCAGTTTAAACAAGACCATGCAGGTCTCGCCGAGCATCTTTATTATTTTTTTGTCGGTTTCTCAATTTCTTACACATATCTAGATATTTACAAAGTATTCACATTAAGATTTGCTAATAAAAACGACGAACCGTCGCTTAACGTTTAATAGTAGACCCGTATAGAGAATTATCGCATTAGTTTTGTTTATCAATAGTTTACCATAATCTTAGCAATATATGTAGATCGTACAAATACAGAGTGGCGGAGAGAACCAAATGAACTGGAAGAGAGGGTCTGAGACGCGTCGAAACCCATTCAATGATTGGTTTCGAGGCCTCGAGAATATATGCTAGAATGGCTAGGTGTGGTTTCACAATTACTGGTGGCATTGATTTATAACAATGTATATTAAAAGTAGTAAATTGGGGGAATGTTACATGTAAATTTGGCTTTATCATCATCGGTTCAAGCAAGTTAGGAACAGTTGCGATGCTAAAAATGTTTCATTATTCATTGGTACCGCTCTCTTTTAACAAATAATGCGCACTTGCCCATTTTCACTGAATTTCTCGGCAGCTGACAATCTAACGCGAAATATACTAAAATGATTGACTAGAAAATCAAGAAAATCGCGACACAAACAGGAGCGCATCGGATACGGCAAACGACATTGGATTCTACTGAGTGTCGCAAACATCTTGGAAATGATAAAAAATCTCGCTGCCAAAATATTCAAGTGAAAAACGGGCCAAACTGAAATCGACTACTCTGAAGTCACTTTATAAGTACTGCTAAAGTTTTGCGTAAGATAGGGGTGTGCGCACCCGGAAGTATCGCCCCCCAACCGGTAAAGCAACGACTCAAAACTGATAATTCCCAGTGCGCATCTCCGATAAACGAACAACGGAACCGCCGTGCGCCCGTCCAACCTAAGACCGGACAAAATAAGTTACTAAAATTAATTTTTTATAACAGCCTTTTTGCGATTTTCTTATTTCCTTAACATACGACTATGACTACAGACTATGTACAGTGTTATACAGATTATATTTTACAAAAAGATACTAAATAAGTAGTGTTACACTATCGCTAGTACCGAGAAATAATTTTCTTTATGCGACTTGACAACGATCCTGAATTCAACATGATGTCGGTCATTCAACACACGGTAATTCATCTGCAACATGTTCGGTCATGTTTGATGCATGATCATTTTCAGTTCGCCGCGGTTTACACTTATATCTCCTATAGCCAGGTAAAAGTTACTCCAAATTTCCGGTAGCACATTCGCAGTCATAAAGCAGACAATGGTTTTGGAATTTACTTGAGGGAACGTCGAAAAGCGTACATAAAGTATACTTTTCGATTCACACAAAAATCTATCTGGTACCGGTCAGACCTATCTAATATCACTAAAAAAAATAATCGAAAGATTCAAAGCCGCACAGGCCGAAAAAACAATGTGATTAAAACGTCACGTTTATTTTTATTATTTTTTTGAACACATCACTACGAAGCGTATTGATTTTTATCAGAAAATCTGGTTTTGCAGCCAGTAATTCTATCGTTTGGAAAGGAGGGACACGGTTCAGACATACTGGGCCACCCCAGCTGCTAAACCAACTGAATCTCGGCTCGTTTCACTCAATAGACAATATCGATAAGAAAACCTTCTTTAATATAAAAAAAATTGTAGCTAAATAGTTTTGGTGCGTCAAGTCACCTCTTGCATCTCTCAGATTTAATCGAAAAAACCCGATTATCTTTGTTTTCACGTCTCTTTGAATTTGCGTATGTTTTGTTCTTTGAATATCAACAGTTTGCCGTTGTGCTGACCCAATATGAGAAAACGCCCTTTCCTTCTACCCACATTAGTTGAATGCGGTTTGAGCAAAATTGCCTTTAGGAATTTTCCTCAACGCAAACCACCGTACAAAAATACCTTTTTAATCAATGGGATTAATATTAGCACATTATTTCCAAAAGAGGAAGATTTACTTTATTCTAAAGACTGCACAAAGAAGTATCGAAATTGTTGAAAGACGCTAGTTGGGCGTGTGTAGAGCGTATCAAGCAATACGAGGAGCAACAACGCGCTCCATCCACCCTGTGTTAATACGGATTAAACAACCGGGACTAACCTTTCGAAGTTGCCCCATTCGCCACGCATCACGTCACTTCCATTACTAGAGTACTTTTGTTGTTGCGCACGCCCCCGTTTGGGGTTTTCTGATTGGGGCTGTTCGATACGTCGCCTGGTTGTTCCGATTGCGAATCCATTTCCACGTCCACTGCGGCTGTCAGCGGATATTCGATGATGTTGTTGGCACTGCAATTGAAACCCATTAGTTTCAGCGGATAAAATTTAAAAAACCTTTTCTAATACCTGTGACTGTTCAGCTTGACCGATTGGGCGGCAGTGAGAAGACTTAAGGTTCCCGTGCTGTTGTAGTTGTACGGCTGCAGTTTGTTGTAGTGCAATCGGTTCAAGTTGTGCACTAGAGATAAGAGTAGATATGAAAAAATTCCAATTCGGCGCAACTCTACACCTTACCATCTGCAGTGAATCCCAGTTGCGGTATCAACCCATTTGTGCTTCCCACATCCTGCTCCTCGTTGCAGCTCTCAAAGGCTCCGGCCACTTTACCCCCTGACTCCGAGCGCATTATGTTCTCACCACCAGCGTCTTTGAGGGTGAAACTCGAAGCCCCCGCCGTGCGCCACGAGTTTTCCAATTCTTCCTCGTCTTCGTCCTCGAAAATCGAGCCCTGGGGCCCCTGTTTCGCGTAGCTGCTTTCATCCGACCATCGTCGGTCCAGCTCAAAGAGGTCCGTGACGAAAGGCCCCTGATCCAGCATAACCGATACGACCGACGGACTCTCCAATGATTCGATTTCCACTTGGAAGGATGGCAGGGTGACGTTGGCAAAGGGCAGTTCGTCGGCAGGTAGCATGTGGCAGGGGGGCTCGTAATCGGGAGGCGGTGTTTTCGGCCGAAAGTGCAACCTAAAAGACTGGCGATTAAGCAGGGAACCGAGTTTAAAAGTTGCGTGCTTTACCAGTCTCTCGGTAGGATTCTGGGGAATTCGGGAATATCGCTCCTGTCAGGTTCGTCTTGCTGGGGGGGCTCTGGCCTCAGTTCACTGCACTCCACTTTTATATCCGATCCTAATCTATCACTTAGCACTGTGCCACTACTACTGTTACTTAAGAAATCACTAATACTCGGGAAGCCACTATCAGTTTTAGAGTCAGAGTGCGCCTCACTGGACACGGCACTGTATTTGTTATAGGTACTAGTGGAGTTTTCAGTTCGTAGTGACTGGGGCTCGCCTTGGAGCCGCCCCACTAACGGCTCTTTAATCGAACTGTGCATACTTGAGATCTCGTTTTCCTGCGGCTCGATGATCGAAAAGTCCATCCTGCAATTCAACGTATTTCTGTTGTGGTGTTCCTGGAGCATTCAACTTTTGATACGCACCCTCTCCAGAAATCATCAGCATCCGTCGATACCCTGTCCAGTATAATTCTGCCGCCGCGGCCTGATCGACGCCGCCCAAATCCGACGCACTTCCGATTAGACAAGGAAGTGAGAGTGAAGCGGAACCGCTTGTCGCCAGCGCCGTTCTCCTCTCGGGAGCACCATGGCCAGTTGCCTAATCTAGACATGGGCTGCAATAGAAACTCCTGTTAGGGATAGCTCAAAGTAGGCATTTTGTACTTACTTTATGGTAGGAGCACAGTCTGTTTCTGCGGAAAGCATACGGACCGTCGTCCTCCTGCTCCTCGGGATCCGGGCTGGCTCCTCGGTGGGGCGCGCCTCCCAAGGAGTCCTCGTCGGAGGAGAGTCCATCCAAGCCTCCGCTTCGGCCGCCTAGCGCTTTGTGTTTTCGCTTCCGGTACTGGCGCTTTTCGCGACGACTTACCATCTGCAATTGAAAGGGCTTGTGGTTAACTCGTGAGACCTAGTAGGGGATGAACATACGTCGTCCTTGATGCTGGTTTTGTGGCCATGCTGCACAACCGCCTGGGCTTGAGTGGCAACCGCATCCGCCCAACTTTGGTTGTGATTGTGGAAGATTGGAGTGAAGGCAGGCCGCGGCGGTGCCAAAGCCGCTTTGGAAGCGGCTGCTTCTGCCGCCACCGATCCATTGTAATCGCGCGCTTGATACCGTTTCTCAAACACCTCCACAGTTAAGTGAACAAATTCCCTAATTTTCCAATAATTAGAAACTTTCTAGCCTTTGATGAGAGGCTACTACCTTTTGCATTTCTCCCGGCGCTTAACTAATTCTAGCATGGTGACTGCCCTAACCAGGTCCCTTCTCAGTTTCAGCATCTTTTCGTAGGAGACTTCGTCGTTCTTGCGATTCTTTCGGGTTTGCATTTTTTCGGTACGCCTACGGAAGGCTAGGTACGGATTGTTGGCTGCTTGGCCTGACCGATGTTCGGTTCGTACGGACAAAATCAGCGGATGTTGCTGCAAAACTTTCCTGCTTTTCAGGGAACATTTTCCGCTATTCGGTGCTCACCGTTTTCAGTCGCTTGTTTAACCAATAATCGTACACTGCGATCGTCAGCTCGTCGTCTTCTTTCAGCAAAGCCTTCGCTTCACCCAAAGTCACGACTGTTTGTCCACTGCTCTTCTCCAAACGGTCCATCATCTCTTCGAACTGAAATAGCGCACGTATTAATTAAATACAGTGATTGACTCCCGAGTATTAGTTATTTCAGTGACAGTAAATTAGTTGGAATCTACGATTGGCCTACCTTTAAGTGGCTGAGTTCAAGTCGCGGCTTTTGTGACTGTAACCATCGCTCGTCGTCCGAATCCATGTCATAGTCGGGAATTTCTTGTTCCATTGTGAAAGCTATAAGAAAAATTGTCTGGAATTAGTCAAGAAGCGCTAAGTATTGTCTTTTCCATGAGCGCGAACGTAAAGTTAATTTGAAAAGTTTTGCTGCATTGGATGGAAATACCCGCAACTGTTCTGGCTTGGAAGAAATTAATTATCAAAAATGCCGAAACTAGACAGTCTTTTATGAAACACGCTCTGGTTTGATAAGAGTTTTAATTGATTGCCAATGTTCTGGACAAGGGCTTGCATGTGGCTTCAGAATGAACACAACAAACTTTGCCTCAATTCAAGAGGAAAAATCGCAAATTTCTTTGCAAGGAGTTAATTGCACCAAGCAACAGGGGCTTCGTTTGCAAACTTGTAAAGGATTTACTATGTGCAGTTTTGCTGCAAATTTGCCTGAAGATGGCATCGAGATGGGGTCCATCTTTCCTGCTCTGTCAATATAGGAATTTGAGTATGTTAACAAAAGAAAGCTGACTGAAACAGTTCCTATAATGAATAATTCCAAAGGAAACTAGACGTTTAAAGAACAAGCTGCGTTCTTTCCAGCTAACAGATTTAGATTTGTTTGAAAAATTTCCTGATGATGTTTCAGAAACGAAACTCTCCGTGCCCTAGCAGACCAAACCCTGCTTTTCCGATAAAAACACCCGCAGCTTTTTGCTGTTAATTTGGAGCAAATGTGTAAATAAAATGGGCGAATACACATGCAAACCACGAGCAGAAGTGAGGTTAGTTTAGATTGTTATTTGTTTATTTACTGACTCTTTGGGCTGGTTTCAGTGCTGGTGAATTAGGAACTACCGTTCCAGAATGACTGGCTAACTATAAAACGAATACAGTAAAAAGGGGCCCTTACGTTGCATGTGTATGAGCTGCCTGGGCTGTTTGTAGTTGGGTGGGTAAACCTTGTCGTAGAAGTCTTTGAGGGGCACATCGGTGACTTCGGGTGTCGGGATGATGAGACCAGCGCATATTGCCCGTTGCAAGTGGTGCTCCTGTTAAGGGGTACAAGCTGTTTACAATTGCCACAGGCTTTATTTACATAGTGTGCGAATGAAAACGGCAGTGACAGCTAATCCACCGAGCACCAAGCGATTAACATTTAAATTCCGTGCGATAATCCGGGCTGTTTAGGCCTGCCGAATTGAGCACAAGTCGGCAAAACAAATTCAAAATTGAACACGCCGGCTAAGGTGGGCGCCAAGCGCCATGTCAACATGGCGGCCAAGCTGTCGCTTATCCATCCCGAATGTAACTTACGCATTCCTCCTCCTTTTGCATCCCGGTGGGCATTTGAGGAACGGCACGATTGATTGCCGAGAAGTCCGGCAAGTCCGGCAGCTCCTCGGCCATGTATATGGGCATGGGCTTGCTCGGATCGAGAGCCCTCGCCCTAAATGAAAGCTTCGACATATTTGTTGATGAGGACACCAAACGCACGACCACGCCAACATAAAAGCGAACTATTTACAGGCTTTTCACCGCTCGGACGGTCCGAGTCCGGCACTAAATGAATATGCGGGTTCCTTAGTACGTTCCCATTGTGTTTATTTACACGCACTCAGTCACAAATACAATAAAACAACTTTGAAACTTTCCATGTCGAGCGTATAATAAAGAAAGCCATCATGGCGGCTCTGCCAGGGAACCATATAAATTTACGAGGAACGTGCTGTGCGCGGAAAGCCCTTGCGCAAGACCCGGGTTGACAGTCCATCTACCTAAAAACTCCCGTGTAAAACTTTTAAGTGAAAAAACGGCATTTAACACTGCTTAGATTTGAGTAGGCCACTGAATTTTCCGTTTTCCGGCATTTCCCGCAGCTCAACCAGCCAGTTTGTTGCAATAGAAAAGCTCCGTTTTGAGTCGCCTCGTCCACGCCATCGGACTCACGACGACAGCCGAACGTTCTACAAACGTGAAAATAGCCCTGTTTTATTAAATTTTTCGTCGTTTTCGCTGCGAATTGTTGTCACTATTCGACTGAAATTGCACAGTGAAGGTGCCAAATCGAATGACAACATGTTGGAGTTAAATGTCATATGTGGCGCCGACCATTCAGGCGGGACGAGCCTGATGATTAATTGAAGGAAAATCCGCCGGAGATCCAGGAAGTGACGTCAGGACCACGTGTTGGTTATTTAAATGCCAGCCGGACTGGGCGGACACTGTTGCCACCTATTCAGCGAGGGTGTGGCGCGTATAACCCGATTGCTTCTATAATCGAGATATTTTAAGAATCGAATTAAACTGATCTTTTCGCCGGCTTTCTTCAAGTTATTCTGGGTAGTGGGGCTTTTTAAGTGGGTCCACACAACTCTATATTTTTACTTTTTAATATCAAACAACTGAACTGCGTGAAGTATTTATTATAAAAATTTAAAAAATCAACAAAAAAAATTTCATATCCATCATCGAATGACCAGTTTGTGAACAGCCACCCCTTGGACGCCCTGGGTGACGTGATTGGGCGTGGTCGAGTACAACCGGATGGGCAGGCTCCACACCATCGTCTCAATGGGCACTTCTGGAGGCGCCTGCCAGCTGGTTGCGTCCGCACCGGGGGGATTCAGGCCCTTATGCAGACTGGTGACGAACTCAAAATGCAGCCGCCACTTTAAACAGACTGCAACAGAAAGCTGGGTAATACCCAAAACCATTTATGCTGCTGGAAAACGCACCCAAATCAGTGGCAAAGGCCGGCGTGACATGTAGGGGAATGGGCAGGATCAGCTGGGTGTATTTGTATCCCAAACACACCTCATGGTGCTTGCTGTAAGTGATAATGCGTGTTTGTTTGGTCGGGTCCATTGCGGTTTCCTCCTCGCATTGCAACGACACGGACACTTGCATGCATTGAACGGTGGCCACGGTAAAATCGAAAGTACCTTGAAAAAAAAAATAACTTGCACCGAAATCTTCTACTTGTTTGAAAATAACACACATATTTGATTGTTTCAGGATATTTTCATCAAATAAATCTCGACCTCAGTTTGAACAAATGCCATAACATCCAATAGTGACGGAAAATCCTGAAAAATTGAAGGTAAAACCAACTCAACCTGATATAACGCGCTTAAATGCCCTCCGCGGCCATATTGTTTTATGTGACGTCGGCTACTGTTTGGGTAATCACAAAACAATAACCTCAATTCGAAATGTTAGTTTTTTGCTGTTGAATGTCAGTGCGTTGGAAATTTGTGCATCAAACTTTGAAACTTAATTAGTGCGGTGCTTCGGCTTTTTTAGTGCTTTCATTCGGATTCAATCGAACAAACAGCTTCTGACATTTTCCGAACTGATTGCCGCCTCTTGTCTTGAATGCGCTTAAACCCTTTCTAGATCTGGTTTTTACCTATAATATCCTCCCCTAGCTTATAAGCCGGCTTGAACAAGCAAAAGCGCGCCACCTTGCCCCACATGTTCGAAATCATGTAAAAGTTCGAGTTGCGTCTGGCAGTGATGTTCTAAAACGGGAAAAATTAGCCCAGAAAAATCGCCTGGGGCAGAGCCCAACCTGGAGGCTTTCCAAAGCCAAGTCAATGGGCTTCTCCTTTTGCCTGATCTCCAAGAATGGGTTAGTCGGTGTCAGTTCCTCGGTAGTTTCATTGCAAAAGGCGCCCGCTTCGTTCAGCACTGCCTCTGCCAGAGGCAGCACCCTGATGGGCACTCGCATCAACTTAACTGGGCTGTTCACTCGCTGCGTCCCAATGGTGATTTTATAGGAGTACTTAACCAGCTGCCCGCGATACGAGGGCGGAGAATCTGTGGGGATTTTTTCCCGGTAGATGACTGAAAAAGCGTCGGTTGACTGTGGGGAGTGAACTCAATGAGTGGTATTTACAATGCCTCACTTGTCCAGGCGACAGTCGCAAGTCACAGAAGATTATTTTAGGCTTGGTCGCAAACTCCACTTTTGCGTTATCCCCAGTGGCAGACCCCAAGGCTGTATTGGCCATTGTGAGGTGACCGACGTTTTCGCTGTTGCTCGCTTTGGGGAGTCGCGCGTCGGTAAAACACTGACAGTGGATCTGGGCGGAGGCCCACGCCAAGCCTTCGAACACATCCGCATGGCTTTGAGACACCTGAAATTGCACTTAGATGGGGGTTCGGCTGCTGGCTGGCGCAGTACCTTGTGGGCTGTAGCAACAGGGTGGTTGAACGATATAATGCACTCTACGACCTCCCCCGATAGGAACACATGGCCTCTGACTAGTTTTGCAGACACCTCAATCATTGTTTATGTGTTTTTTTTGCGAAAAAACCACTCTCCATTAAGCAATGTTTTGACAGCGAACGTCTTACCGCCTTACGTCAGTCAATTGGCTGCACAGATCACAGAGGTTGCTCCATGATACAATGAATACAAGGTAGGATCTTGCGTCGATTTGCATGACGTCAGTAGAAATCACTGCCTGGCGTGCTTTTTTCCTGTCTGCTAAATGTGATTAAATATAGCTTATTTAGTCTTTGTCACATTTAATTTTTTTTTTATAAATCCTCCTTATAATTACAAGATGATTTGCAGCAGATTTTAGACTTGAAAATTAAAAGTAACGAAAATGTATTTATTTTGCAGACTAGCACAGTTGCCACTTGTGCAATAAAGTAGAGCGTCAGCGGAAAATGTATCCTTGCGGAAATAGTACATTACGATTCACGAGACGGAAGTCCAAACAATGACCCAATGTTACTTTCCTATTATTTACGACGGAATACGCGGTTTGTGGTGCCCCAGACGATATGTAAATTTTAAAACAAATGAAATGACTGCACACCGCATTTTTTATATTTCTGAACCGACACTTAAAAGTAGCACACAATCTAGAGTACACTTTCCAACTACCAATCGCAAAATGCTCAGTTTTGTCTACAAAATTTCCAAACATGCCTAAACGCATTGACTCCATAATACAATTAATTCATTGTACGACAATGAATTCATTGTGTGATACAATCAATTCATTGTATGAACAGTGCATTCATTCATTGTGATACAATTAATTCATTATTTCGTTTGGCTCAAGCCGATTTCTCAAATGACGCTCTGGCAACACAGCACGCTAAAACGCTGAAAATCAGAGATTTTGTAAAGAATAATTTAGGGTATTTTTCTTCCCAAAAAGCCTAAATCAGGTCCCAAACGCGATTTTCAAAGTATTAGGCTATGCAATGCTGCAAACCATATTCTCATATAACTTTCCATTTTTGAGCTATTGCGTTTTGAATTCAGTGAAAATTTGTCTAGGGTACATGCATTTTAAATGGGATCAGCTCTTTACTTTACCAAAGTGGTAACCAGCGACGTCATGTGCGCACGAAATCGAGTTTTCGACCGATTAATATCCTACCTTGTATTCATTGTATCATGAGATTACTCTGTAATCTGTGATTGGCTGTTCGGATATTTCCAGCGTTGTCGTGTCTCCCGCAAAGTCTGCAGTGTCAATCGATTTTCAGGTCATTAATTGTCCCAAGTCGATTTTGTAGCTGCTTTTCAGTTTCTCACTTAGCTCAATTATTGGTGAATTGTGTGCAAAAGAGGCAACGTGGGGATTGTTTTAAAAAACTTTATTTCCAATAGAAAAGAAGCATTCAGCAAAATCGATTGATTTTTCCTTATCTTGGTCCGAAAAGTCACATCAAAAATGAAATTAAACAGAACAGAAAGCCCTAAGCTAGACTAGATTAACAGGTTAAAACGTAAAATACATGGCATTAAAACTTTGCAACTGAACACGCTCTAGAAACTTGGCAAAAGTAACAAATCCACTAGTTTACTGCGCGAGCACAGATTGGAGAACGCTCTAACTACAACTACGTAAATTTTCGAATAATCCTGGACATCAAGAAACCGCTAATACATTTGTCCAGGCAAGAAGCCTCGAACCTGAACTCAAACTGTAACTATCACAGACAAAAAATAATCTAAGACACCTAAATAACAAAAGTAGGGGAATGGTTATATTGAAACGTCTCCATACTGAAGCGACCACTTCTCATAAGCCACCAGACTATGCGGCGACACGCTCCGCCTGATCCGCTTTAGCGAGTCCAAGAAATCCGCCATGGTGATGCTACGAACGGCGTTGGGATCCAGTTGCTTCACCTGTTCGGGCTGTAGTTCTGAAAACAACGCACGTTTAGAAGTTGGATTGGCGTCGAGCCCCAAAAATACCTCTGATCGGCCCCAAGGCGGCGTCTTTGGCAAGGGCGGTCAAATCGCTGGCCGAGTAGCCCTCAGTCAAAGTGGCCAGTCTTTTCAGCTCCTGCTGAGTGAGGCTGCAGCCCTGTTTGGACAACAGTTTCTTGAGCAACTTTATGCGCGTTTCTAGATCGGGCAGCGTGACGTAGACGCGTTTGGTAAAGCGGCGCAAAGCTGCCTCGTCTAGTTCTTGGGGCCGATTGGTCGCAGCCATCACCAGCACCTAAGAGCCAGTTAAGAGGAGACAATGATGGAAATGATTGTGTTGTTGCTGCTTACCCTCTCAGTTTCGGGATTGCTGGGAAGTCCGTCGAATTCAACCAAAAACTCGGTTTTAAGGCGCCGACTGGACTCGTGCTCGTTGTTGGACCGTTCGGAAAGAAGCGAGTCCACTTCATCGATGAAAATTATTGAGGGCTGGAGCTCGCGGGCGATGGCAAACAGCGCCCGCACCATCTTCTCCCCATCGCCCACATATTTCGACGTCAGACTGGCGGCGCTGATTGAGAAGAACGTCGCCTAGAATCAACCACCCAATCAGTGTATCAGTGTGCTTGCTGGTGAAGTAAAGCAGCTACCTGACATTCAGTGGCAACAGCCCTGGCCAGTAAAGTCTTTCCATTGCCCGGAGGTCCAAACAGGAGCAAGCCCCTAGCGGGGGTCCGCAAGCCAGTAAACAGCTCAGGCCGCAACGAGGGCAGAATTACCATCTCCTGCAAGGCTTGCTTGGCCGTTTCCTGGCCCACAATGTCCTCCCATTGGACCTGCGGGCCCCCTTCCACAATCTCATCCAGAATGCACTGGGCGAGCTTCGGGTCGACGCCCTTTAACGTGGGGGACCGCCCGCGTGTGCCCGGCTTGCTTGAAGGCCCTGGAAACATCACAGTTATCATCAGGATATCTAGATCAGCCTCTAGTACAAACCTGCGTTAATGTTGTTGCTGTTATTGAGGCGTCGGGCCGGGGACCCGACATTGCCCGGGATACTAAGCTGTTTCTTGACAGCGGGAGGCGTTGAGGAGATCTTGTTGAAGGGGCGCACTGGTTGAACGGGCGCTGATCGAGAGCCCATTGATCGCGGCAGCGTCTGGCTCTTGGACAGGGTGGAATTGGTGGGTCGTTTACTTGCCACTGTCAGTTTCCGGCCAGAGGCTACATTAAGAGAAAGGCCACAGATGAATACTTGTTTTACATAGTGGCCGCTTTAGAAGGACCAAACATTTTGAATCAGGGGCGGATCCAGCTTTAAAGTCAGGGGGGGGGGGATTATGTAGAAAAAATACAGTCTTCTGTTATCTATGAAATTAGAAAAATGATCGTCGTTTTGTGCAAGGGTGGCGCAAGATTATTGCAAAATTTCATGTTTCTCGGAAGCAAAATGAGCAAGAACGCTCGTTTTTACATCATTCCAGAGATAACTAAATGGCCTTTATTCGAAGTTTCTCAAGAACCAT